CCGCGATTTCCGCCGCCACGTCCTTTTCCGCGACCATAACCTCCGCCGCCGAATCCTTGTGTGGGATTCTGGCCGTAAGCGGGGTATCCCTGGTTTGGGTTTTGGTTATAGCCAGAATTTCCGTTATTCTGGTTACCTCCAGAGCCAGGACTTTGGCCTCCGTAGTTGTTTACTGGGGCTCCGGCTGCTGGTTGGGGTGCTGCCAAGTTGACAGCTGCCACTCCTGCCCAGGTCGGTTGCTGGACCGGCATCATTTGCGCTGGTGGCGTTATCGGTGTGGTCGGTTGCACGTATGTTGCCGAGGGACTTTGATATCCCGGCATCATGTATGGCTGGTACACTGTTTGTGCTGGCGCCTGCGGTAAAGGAGCTGGTGTAGGCGTTGTTGCTCGGACCCGGGCATAGTCGGTATCCCGTGATCCCTTCGCCACGTCGTACATCTCCTTTCCGTTTACGAACTGGCGTATGTAGTCACGCAGTTCTACCGGGGTTGCCGGCATACGAATCTCCAAGGCTTCTCGTAGCTTGGGTTCGTGGATGTTGTCCTTCAGATGGAAAAGTGCCATCTGGTCCGTGATGGTGTCACATCGGGACTTGATGTTCATCATGGCGTCATAGTACTGTTCTGGCGTCTCTTGTCCAAAGCGGTACTTTCGTTTGGCCATGGCGGTTACGGCGTTAATTTCCTTGTTTTTGTCGCCGAACCGTTCTTCGAACTTAGCCAACCAAAGGTTGACTGGCCATCCTCCGGCTGGTTCACTGCCGGCGGTGTCCCTATGCCATTGTGCGGCCTGGCCTTCGAGTCGTGAGATTAGGTCTGTCATGAACGTGTGATCCGATTCATGCCATTCTTGTGCTTCCGCGTAGAATCGACGGATTTGTTTCAACCATCCCTCGAGTTTGTTATGGTCGCCGTCGTATTCCGGCAATTTCTGCTTACGTCCGCGGGCACACACGCGGATCATCGTTTCCTGGAATGCCCGGTTAGCCGCTTGTTGGGCGTCCATGGCAGGCGGTGGGGGAGGGTTTGCTTCCCAACCTTGTTCCGCGTATCCCCGACCCTGTTGGTCTGGGTAATGCTGATGCTGTTGATCCGGGTATCCATAATTCTGTTGTTGTGGATATCCTCGACCTTGTTGGTCTGGGTATGCCCGACCTTGTTGGTCTGGGTATCCCCGACCTTGTTGGTCTGGGTATCCAGCCGGGTACGGTTCCGGCTGAGGAGCTGGTGCTCGTGGTGGCCGTTGTGGCTGTTGGTAGAATCCCGGTGGAAGGTCGTTCACCCTTCCATACTGACTTCTGAACGGCCTTCTCGGTGGTGCCCGACCTTCTGTTGGTCGGAACCGAGGCACGTTCTGCGAGTCTTGTGGGTAGTCGGCGGGAGGGCGTTCCGGATTCGGTTGTCCGCTTCGTCCTCCTTGAGGAAGGTCATTATTGTATGACCTAGCTCGTGTCCGCTGATAATCGGAGTCGCTTATCGTTAAGCGTCCGAAGTCATCCATGTTGGGGTGTGAGCCTGTTCGCTCTCCCAGTCGCCGTCCTGCGCCCCATTGGTTAGGCGCTGGTCCATTCGGGTGGGACGTGGTGGGCGCTGGCGCATGCGTCGATGTGTGCGTCGCATACGTGGTACTCGTGTAAGTACCTAACGTGGCCGTCGTCGTTGTCGGCACGTTTGACGTTGGCACATGTGGTGCTGCAGTCGATGTATTCCGTTCAGGTTCTGGACGGTGGGGCAGAGGCTGTTGCTGCGGGGGGAGTTCCGATGAGCGGGTTAGTTGTCACCACGCCCACGAAGAAGTTCTGTTCCTTCTTCTCCTCTTTGGGTTTAATGTCCCACAGGATATCTCGGACTGTTTGCGACGGTTCAAAGTGGAAATCCGCTGCCATCGAAGTCCTGTAGGATGGAGGCTCCGTCCTGGATTGTTCCAGGTGTTTCGTTTCCTCCTGAAGGCATCGTACCTCCGTATCCAAGTCGTCGGTATACGTGGTCATCTCGTCAATATATCGATTTAAGTCATCGATATATTTATCCGCGTCCAGACCGTAGTTGTACAGGTCGTTTTCGCGGACTTCCAAGTGTGCGATGCGATTCTGTTGCGCTTCGTACACCTTCTGGGCTTCTGCCAGGCTGTGTTCCAGCTGTGCTCGGAGTCTTTGTTCTTCCTTCAGCACATCATTTAGTCCGTAGACCTGGTCGGCCAATTGGGCGTTTGCTTGTTCCAGGTCGGTGGTAGCTCTACTTCGGTCGGGTGAGGCAGGTTGCTGGCCGTAGTGAGCCATTAGCTGTCGTCCTGCCCTGACCAGGAGAGTTTCCATCTCCCTTTCGAGTTGTTCGATTCGATATTTCTGCCGGTCGACCTCGTCGTCGGCCTGCTTGAGTTCGACAATGTATCTGTCGACCTCGTTCCGGTACACTTCGGCCTCTTCATTGGCCTGCTTCAACTGTTGGTGGAACGTCCCTGCTGCCAGTTCCGATTCGACCAAGGCTGTTTGTGTGTCAGCCAGGTCTTTTTTCCACGGTGGCAAGGCGTCTCTTCAGTTCGAAGACCGATTCCACTGACGTTGCAAGTGTACTCCGGAGTCGTTCGATCTCTTCGAAGTCGTACCGACATGGGTTGTCGGACCTCTTGAGATGACTCTCTAAGTGTTCGATGCGGCGCTGTTGCGCAGCAATGCCATTGTTGGCCTCAGCTAGTTCCTTCTCCCATCGCTTCCGTTCGAGCTTATGGGTGTCCTCCGATCGCGACATCTGATTTTCCGTGGAGTTAACGATTTGGTCGGCCAGGACGATTTGTGTTATCAAATCCTGGCATCGTTTCCGGAGTCGATCGATGTCTTCGATCTTTTCTGGGGGTGTGGATGCAATCCACTTCCGTGCCGTGTACTCAAGCGTGCTTGCTTGGTACCTGTGGTTACCCAAGTAGGGTGCCACTGGCGTTCGGAAGAATCCATCCCGGCTGCTGGGACGTGACACTTGTGTCGTGTCAAATACGTCGTCCATGGGTGGTGGTGTTCCACTACCCGAGTCGCCAAGTTCGAACATGAGTGGCGACCTCTTCTTTAGGTCGACAAGTCGACTTGTTGGCGACTTCACCTTCGGTTGAGTTTCTGTTGCTCGGGTCGACCTGCTTTCCGTTGGCGAAGGTCGACTTGACGGTGAGATGGCCTTTTCGTTAGGCATCGGTATGTTGGTTGGTGATCCAGCCGGGTGAGGTCCACTTCGTGGTGGGGCTTCGGTTTCTCCCGTTTTGGCCGGTAGTTTAGGCCACTGGATATCCATATCCGACCTTGTATCGACTGGCTTCTTTTCCAGGGAGGTCGGTTGTACTTGACCGACTTGCTGTTGTCCGACCTCTGAGGTCGGTGGAAGTGCCGACCTCAGTTCCGACTTGTGTTGTCGGACGAGGTCCGACCTCCATGGTCTGCCTTTGTTGACCGACCTTGGTCGGTGGAAGTAGTCCGACCTCAGTTCCGACTTGTGTTGTCGGGTGAGGTCCGACCTCAGCAGGTGGCTTCTGTTGACCAACCTCCTTGGTCGGTGGACTTCCATCCTTCTTGGTTGGCGAAATCCTCCCGACTTCTGTTGTCGGTTGGACTTGGCCAACTTCCTTGGTTGGTGATTGCTGTAGTCTTCTAACCTCAATTCCAACTTGTGTTGTCAGATGAGGTCCGTCCTCCGGTTGAGGATAACCGACCCCCGAGGTCGGTTTCCGTTGACCGTCCTTAGAGGTTGGTGAAGCCCTACCGACTTCTGTGGTCGGTTGGGCTTGACCGATTTCCGTTATCGGTTGCTTCTCTCCGACCTTCAAAGTCGGTGAAGTCGCTCTACCCGAGTTGGGCGATGTCGACCTCTTCACGTCATCCGTCTGGTTGGGTGATGTGTGTCCGGCGTCGGTGACTTTCGTAGTCGTTACCGACTCCTGAGCTTTCTGTGAGCTCAGTTGAAGTCCTTCTGTTGAGTCCGTAGAGGTCGGTACACCATGTGGGTGTTCCGCCTCGGCATGAGACAATGTGGTCTCAGCCTGCAGATGCTCCATTTCCCCCGGTCGGGTGGGACGGGGCTGCTAAGCCAGCTCGAGGCTCGAGGAACGTCTTGTCGTGGGCGTCCTCGAAGCTGTCATCGGACGTTGGGTTGGAATCGGCGAGGAGGATCCGCTCGTTGCGCTTCTCCCTTGCCTCGGCTGACTTCGTTGAGTCCGTTGATGACGGCTGACTTTTATCCTGACCGGAGTGCCGTAGTGCATACGGCGCGTTGGAGGTCAGGCGCCGCGAATAGTCCGTGTTGAACTTTCGGGCGTATTCGTTTTCCTTCGGGTTCGACATTGTTGTCGGGTCAGGTCGGTTCAAGTGGAACCAACGAGAGACTTGTACTGTTGTACAGTAAATTGAACTATCCCTTATGTGGGGATGTTCAATTGAATCAGGAACGTCTTTCGGTTCAGGAACTTCCTTGGGTCAGGATGGTCCGACTTGATGTTGTTGTTGTTGTGTTGATGTGTCTGTGTGTGACTCAGTACACAACGTTACAATACAGTACTATGGTACAGTACAGTATGATAAGGTACTACAGTAGAGTACGTCCTATACTACTGTGCTGACCAGTATGACGTCACAGGGCTAAGTGGTCTTGCACTTCACTGCCTACGTCACAGAATGCGAGCCGCGTGCAAAATTTAAAAAAACGATGATTCACGCCTATGTTAAGCTTATGGGAAGTTTCCCCTGCACGCTGATTGGCTAGCCTCAAAGTACTGAAAATCGAGCGTTCTGACGTCACAAGGAAATTCAAGAATTTTCGCGCTTATTTTCGCGGAAAAACAAGAATATTTTTAGGTCGATCAGAGATGTTTTCTGGTCGAAATTTTAATTTTAAGCCGTTAGAAATAATTTCTAGATTCTCAGAAATTTTTCTGACGGTGGAAAACCGTCAAAATGAAAAGCAAAGTGAATGACCGACCTCTGGTCAGTTACACAGAGTGGTCCGTTAGGTCGGTAAAGTAACTTTTTAGGTCGGTTTCTCCGACGAAAATTAAGTTTTTACCATCGAAAAATTATTTCTAGTTCTCAGAAATAAATTTCAGCCGTTAAGAATTAAGAATTATAGCTAGTTTCGACCTGTGTCGACCTGTAACCAGGACTTTACCGGTTCGTTACGGTGTCCGTGGAGGTCGGTGATCCGCCGTTGGGAGGTCGATTTCCGTTAGAGTTGCGGGTCGCCGTTCAAGGCGAAGGTCCCCGATTGTTGAGAGGCTCCTTCTGGGCGCTGCAGGCTACTGTCCGAGCCTGATCCGTCAGTTGGGATTGGGGAAGTTCCCGTTCGTCCGTCTGGGGCAGTCAGCCGAAGTGCTCTCCTTGTGTGGAAGAGCCAAAAGATAGGGCAAGCGAAGGTGGCAGGGATCGCTTTTGCGATCAACCTGTTGCTACCACAGTCGCTAGACAGCAAAGACCAGGTTGTAGCAGAGGCTGCGTTCGCAGTCAATCTGTTTCCAACCACGGGTTCTTCAAGGTTCTCCGCGAAATTATGCCTTTACCGTCTCCTCAAAGGATCCGGTGGACAGAAAACCAGACGATCTGCTTACCATGTGACAGGCAAGCACAGAGAGCTCACAGGTGACTTTATTGTACAAATAAAGTGGAGCAAATGCCGCGTGAATGCGGGGAAAAACACAACAAAGGCCAATGTCTGGCAGGAAAGTGAGCAGTCAAGTTGCTGCGAGCTAGTTCCAGAGCGTAATGAAATGTAGAGAAAGAAATGTGCTGGCGGCAACGGCGTCACGCTGTCCAGACACACGGAATGTGAGTGCGCAGACTGGACTCGTATCCAACGCGAGCGAATATACGCTGAGTCATACAGCGAGAGAGAGGAGCGAGAGAGCAAGTATGCTCAGTGAGTGCGCCCGCGGTGTATCCGCATAGGCGGAGAGTGCAGTGCAGCCACTCACGTACGTACAAGAGAGGGCGAATCAGCATGTGTGCAGTGATACGCATACGCAAAGTGGCGTATCTATCACGCAGGCTGTCGTGCCTCTAACACTATAATGATAATTAAATGAAACTGAAAACTCTACCAGCCTTTTTCCGCCTATACAGAACTGGAAACCAACCTGCTGTTCGACTAACATGGCCATATCGACAAACATATCCCGCAGCTCCTTAATATTGCTCTCCAGTTTAATAATGTCCTGGTGACGCGCTTCCACGTCGGCCAGGGCCTGTTTGGCTTGTTGGGATTCGGCCACAATCTACCGGCAAACAACACAACAATGTATTACGACTCAGGCGTGTTTTCCACGCACACTTGCTCAACCAACACAAATCAATTCACATTTCGGCAAACAGTGCAAACATGATCAGCATACACAGCACCGATCACTTGAACTTGCACTGCTGGACAACAGACTCGACACGACGAAGTACAGTTACAAATCAACGCTGAAGAGTCAACATTACGCCATGAACAAAGCCATAGCAAACAAAAGCAAATAGTCTATCTCATGGTGGCCGATAAAATCACATATCGATACTCATACACCTGTAAGGCTGTAACTGCATTGCTACATGATTCAGGGTAAAAAAAATCCCAATCCGCATCCACAAAACAATCAACCAACGATCAAAAGATCAAAGCAAGAAAGTGATTTAACAAAACAATTTGAATAAATTGCTCGAGTTACGTAGGAAAAAGTATTCTGATTAGCGTTCCAAAAAATGTTCACTCTGCCATAAGCGTAATTCACTTACTCCTTGGGTGAATATTTGAGGATCGCCACTCTCCAGCATCTCATCAATCTGATCATCCGCGGTCGGTCTTCCAGCTAATCCACAGATAAAACAAATTCAAGCACTTTATTTGGACCACACATAAATATCAGCGATGTCAAAAGATAATCACCACGAAAACTTCACTGACAGCTGTCGTAAACTACGGTTAAAATCTTGCAAATAGCACACAGAAAACTCCACACAATTTTCATTATGTTTTATATGCTATAAATCTGCACTCAGTCGTCGCCCGTTGTATTTCTAGTGGAACTACAAAGTTCCGCAACTTTTATTTCCAGTTTTAACCTACTTATTTCCAGCTGGCGCTTTATCCTTGTTTTACAGCGTTCTTTATAATCTGTCTGGGCTTTATTATAATCTGACATCACAGTTGTGAATCTCCTGGTCAAAGTGGCATGCTACAACAAATTAACAACGCCAATAAAACAATTTTACAATATAAAATCCCTAATAATACCGCAATCTCTAATAATGACCAGCTTCCAAGCAGGAAGCGAACAAGTAAAGTGTGAGCGTTACACAACATTTTTGAGCTAGATCAAAAATGAATAACAAAACCGAATATTTAAGCTATTATAGGACTGCCCTCTTACCTGGGTTTTTCTTATCCTGAGATCAGCTGATACGGCACCCGTTTGTTCTTCCCTCTCGATGGAGCTTTCCAAATCTGTAAAAGTAGAGCGAAAAAAATTACAAAAACCATCCCACCATGACTGCCTGACAAACTACACCCAGAGCCGATTTTTTCAAAGTAAGATCACTCTGTGCATTTTCACAAGCGTACAATCAACTATTCATATTACGAACAATTTACTATACATTCTGAATTATGCTCGTAGGAATGCAATGTGTTTTCAGCGAGAAACGAGGAAATGTGATTTCAAAATTAGCTCAATTACTAAAATAATAAAAAGAGCCAAAACAACTTACTTTTCAAATGGGTCCGCAGATTCCCTGCCGTATTTTTAATCTGCTCCATAAGCCGTTCCAGCTCATTTTTATCCCCTAAACAACGAAATAAGCCCATGATGCAAAAGAAATCAATAGTATTTTAAATTCCACCTACTTTCATCCGATGCCGGAGAGGATAAAATCAGATTGTGCTTCTGTTTGACTAAGCCAATATTCCTGTCAATGGAATCCAACTGGCCGTTCATCAGCTCCACCTAGAAGATAAAATCAACTTGTTCGTGAAACAAAGAAAACGTCTACTAGCAGTAAATCACACCACGCTGTTGTGTGTACGAAAACAATTCTCATGTGCACAATTTGCAAACTGGCATCGCGTTTGCCAAAAACAAAAAGAATTCAACAACACCACAGAAAAACATGGAGACAGTAAACGAAAGAAAACAATTGCATTGAATATCTGCATGCTATCACTCGGTACAGAAAAATTCAATTAAAATTCCAAAATACACAATTTTCAGCCCGAAATAAGGTGCAATGCAAATAAAGACTGCATGCAAAATCAGTCAAATGTTTTAAAAATAATTATTAGAAACGAATTTGCATTGGTTATGCAAAAGGCACATGATAAAAAATCATAACAAGAGAAAAAAATGTAAAGGACAAACCTCTTCAAAAAATTTATCCAAGGACCCTTGTACGCTCATCTCGATTTTAACTTCCCCTTTGGGCACCACATCGGGGTCATTTCGGTCGGCCGCCGTCTATTAAACGAAGAAAACCACTCCAGAAAACACCAAGGAAGAAGTCCCTCCGAGGATAATTTACCAGTTTCAGCGCCGTCAAGCGATCCTTGACAGGCATTTTCGCGGTGGAATGGAAGGTTGCGATGCTCCGCTGACGTCCAATCCGTCAGCGCCTATTCCATCACTCCGAAAGGGAAGGCAACAGACCTTCCTTTTCCGAAGGTCAATGGGATGGCAATGTGGGATAAATAGTACAGGGATGAAAAAATGGGAAGCTCCAGGAAGAAGACCAGCACGGATGTCAATCAGCTGTTGCTAAGATAGAATGACGTCTTCCACCTGCAAATCACCCAGATCTTCGCATCAAAAAAATTCGGAATTTTTTAAAAACATTTCCGCATTTTTTTCTGATAAATCAGATAGTCGGGGAAACAGTTTGAAGTTTTTTCTCGCTTACTCGATAAACTACTCGGTGGTTTCTCAATGGAGGTTTCGCGCAACATAATGATCCATCCAAAACAAGCCGAGCCAGTTTACACCACAACCACGCAACAATTAAAAGAGCGTGCAATCATCAATCAATTAGCCATCAAGTACAGACGGAGCAGGTAGAAAAAAAGAGATGACAAACTGACATTGGTCGCACACACACACACACGCTGGAGAACAAAAATGCAACACCAGACAAATCGGTCGCTAATCATGAAGCTTTACAAATCAATTCCGTTCCGCCTCTCTCTCTGTGCACCATGACTTGTGATGAGGATAACACGATAAATTATTGGTATCAATTGGTAAGTAAAAGATAGCGCGTCGGCAATAATCGCTTGAATGTAAGCGAGTTATGACCATGTTTCGTAATACACGACTGCGAGTTAAACAACTGAATGAGAGACAGCAGAAATATGAATATGAAACAGTGCATGATAAATATCGAGGGCAAGATAAACCCCGCTGATGGCGGCGGTACCCTGGTTCAGCCTCAAGCCTGCACTTAGGAGCTACGAGGCACACGGCCGACTGCGCCGAGTTGCATTACCGATACAATTGTTGTCAATGCGGCGCAACTGGCGGTTTTGTTGTACGTAATAATCCGGTTCACTCATCAGTCGTCGACACTTTGTATCTCGGCACGAATTGTCCCCATTTTGACATGCCAACAATGGCAACCTTTAAAACCTTTTAGAACATTCATTAGAAAATACAACAGCGCGGTAGCGATAAGCGGCCGAAAGGGAAGCCTAGCCTACCGTTTGTCGTCAGACGGTCGCTAATTGGCAATGAATAAGACTCTCCAAGGGGCGACTCCCAGTGGATCCCTGTATTCATTGCTTGTTAATTGGCCGAGCGCCATTTACAGGCGGTTTGAGTGAGTCAGTGCTGAGTTTGTTGTCCACACACTCTGACGCCTCTTGCTCTTCTGCCTCTCTCTCACCCACTCACAACTTCCATTCACCGTCTCATTTTTCGACTCGGTGTGTCCTGAGAGCCGTCGATTATCGTGATCGGATTCCGTTGATTAAGTAACTACCAAACTTGCGTGCCTTATTTGTGAAAAAACACTACTGCGCCGTCGCTAGTCTCCGCGCTTAACTTTTAGAACAATGTTTGGCGAACTCTGCTGCAGCCATGGTTTTTCTTCTGCTGTACTACTTTCCCCTGGATCTCTGTGATGCGGACTGTACCATGTGTTTTTAGATTGATTGCTATTCAATTTGGAGTTTTTAAGCGTTTTATCGTCTTATCATGTTGTAAATCGGATTTGGAAGTTTAATGGCATTGATTAACTATCCCTGATCGATGGACGAAGGAGCTTCGATCTTTTAATTTTTTATGCAATTTTAACCGGATGATTTTTTAATTTTAAATATTTTATCGTGTTTTTTACTGTTTGGATTGCATCCTGTGAGCGGGCATGTCGGATGTGAGCGCGCTCTCCAGGGTAGACGCGTCAAGATTGTTCTGACCTATTTTCCATTGTTTCTGTGGATGAATGGATGACTGCTCCATTTACATGCAGCTGATTGTGAGCCGATAACGTTAAATGTCCGATCGGATGTCCATCTGACTGTCTGCACTGTTACGCGAGGCAGTCGGCGCTCTGATTGTACCCACCAACTGATGTCTGCATCGTCCCCAGCGAAGGAATCCACTGCACAAAAGTCCAAAAGCAAATCGTCTGCGCCGATGAAAAATGGTGGATTAAAGGGAAAGCATAGTCGACAGACTGTTGCGGAGGTTGATCCCGAGGTAAGACGGGGTTAGAGGGAGAAATTCGCTCCAAGAACCCGAACTGCATCGGCTGAAAACTGGAAAAAATTGAATTATTTACTAATTTACATTCCGAAAATTTTTGATTTTTTTAATTCGGTATTTCTTATCCCGGGTATTTTTGGCTGATCTCCAGACAAGACGAAAGTGGAAGAGAAAAAAGCGCTCCAAGAACCTGAATTTTATCTGTTAACAACTGGAGAAAATTGAAAACTGAATTTTTTTAATTATTTGAAACACAAAAATTTTTTTCGAATTTTATACAGTTGGGTATTTTTGTTTTCCCCTGCATTTTTGATCGATCCCGAGGTAAGGCGAGCTAGAAAATCGTGCATTCTGGAAGAAAAAATGTGCTCCAAGAACCCGAATTGTATCTGTGCAAAATCGAAAACTTTAAATTATTTTTGGATTTTTTTAAAACTATGTTTGGGATGTTTTTGTTATAGCAGTTTCTCTGGTTTTTAGGTTGTAAATAATGCTAAAGATCTTAAACCCCGACCTCCGGAGGCGCCCGTGGATGTCCGCGCCCCCGCGTGGCCCACCAGCGAGGATCCCTTAAAGATGTCCCCCAGCAAGGGCAAACCCCCGAAGTCCGCGGAGAAGCTGGTCAACGGCGGCGGCCTCGTGAATGGAAATGTGGGGAAAGCGCACAACCTCTTCTTTCCCCCCGCCTTTGCCCCCTTTCCCTCCGCCGCCTTCCCGCGCGGTCCCTCGCTCCTGGCGGGACCGTCCGAGCCCCACCGGAAGCGCAGCACCCCCGCGGAAGACAACGAGATTCAGAATAAAATATCGGCTATCATCGCCGCGGCGCCTACATTACGACCGGGCAAGAAGAAGGACTCGGGGACGGTTCTCCCGCCGCCGCCTCTCGTCCCGCCGGTACTGCCGCCCCGGGTGGAGGAGGTGTCGAAGAATGCGTCGCCGCGCAAGGACACCGGGAAGGGAAAGAGTGGAATGCCGCCCATCATGCCTAAAGAATCCCGGGAGGCGGCATCGCCCGCCAAGACCGGGAAGGGAAAACGCGGCACGGTACCGCCGCCGCTGCTGAGCGATCCGATGGCGCAGTTTGTGGCCGGAGCGCCGTTTAATCTTGCTGCTTCCACGCCATTCCTGCTTCCAGGAAATGCTTTATTGCAAAAGTAAGAAAAAACAAATATTTTGTTGGTTTTATTGAACTGTTATGAACTTATGGGTAATTTATGATGGTTTGTTAAATGTAGGGAAGCTTTGGCATGACGTATTTTTCTAGTTTTTTCAACAACTTTTTGTTTCGAATAACTAGAATAAGATAAGCAGATATTAGAAGATCCCAGATTTGAGTTCATCTGAGTGCCGAAATTTGAGTTGTAGACTTTTAGTCCAGTTGCAGAAGAACTCTGTAACTGATCCAAAAATTTCCAGTTGATATAGATGTAATCGTGCAGACGTGCGCTAAGCGCAGCGTGTTGGTGTATGCAAGGATTGATTAAACTGTGAAGTTCTACAAATGAACCGCAGATACAGTTTATCAAGATTTCGACCGCACTCAGCCCTGCCAAGAATCAGTGCATTAGTCGCAGTGATCCTTTTTATCGTATCAGGACCACTTCTGATCATCGATTCACGGTGCAGATAACCGAGATAATAATTATTGATGTTGTTGGTGATTACTTAATTTATTGTGGTATTTTACAGTTTGATTATGCCCTCGAATATCCTCCTCAACGCCACCGGTCTTCCACCCAACGCGATGTCACCGGTCTTGTCCCCGACCACAACCCCCAGTTTATTCCTGATCCCGACCAAACCCGAGCCTCCTCTTCCGGTGAAGAACTTCAAAAGCTTTAAGAAACAAAAAAAATCAGAGCCCGGCAAACCCGAGAAGGCGCAGCTGCGCACCCCGGAACCATCGGGGCTCCCAGCGACATCCCTCGTCGCCACCTCGAAGTCGTCTTCCTTGGAGCCGGATCTGGACCAACTGCTGTCCAGTGTGCAGAGCAAAATCAGCGAATTCGGAACACTCTCGCGGCATGCCACCCTCTTCCCCGCCGGTAGTTCCACACTGCCCGTCTCCCCGCCGCTCCCACCCGTCTCCACGGCCTCCCTGCCCAGTTTCGGGACGTTCACGACGAAGAACAGCGAGGCGGTGGGCTTTGGCGCCCTGACCACACCGGCCCTGGGCGCCGTGACGTTCGCCAGTCTGGCGTCCGTCTCTGGGCCGCTGCTGCCGGTGTCGACGCTGATTGACACCGGGGTCCGATCGCCGATGGTCCCGTTGGTGGAAGAGGAGAGTGCGATCAGTGTGGAGGTGTGTGCGCCGGTTGATCCGAAAATCGTTAGACGGAATGTGCGTTTGATGAGGAAGAAGGTGGCGCTGATTGATCGGGCGCTGTGGGAAGATGTCGAGGGGTTGACGGGGCAGGTGGAGAAGATGGAGCTGAGTCCGGAGGGTGCGCGAAAGGGTCGGGAAGTGGCCCGCCGGGAGGGGCAGGTGTCTGTTTTGCCGTTTAAGAAGAGGCTGTACAAGAGTGTGCCCTCCCCGAAACCCAACGATGCCAACAGTCGGAATGTCTTTCAAACAGGTTGGTTGCGATGTTGAAAAATTGATGCATAAAATGCGGTACATACACATTTTACAGTTTACTCACTACACTAATATAGTATTACAGCAACTGGTATTGCAGTTTTGAAAGTGCAATACTGATAAGTTTAATACGTTCTTGTATTAATTCGCTGATAAATTAGTACAATAAATGATAACCTCATGAAAAATGTATAAGGCATATGAGGTACGGTAGGAATCGCTGTAGCCAATGAATAACGAGACTACGAGAGACGAGACCGGAAGTTCGAGCTTTTACTTGTTACGGTTGAAGTAAAAGGCATCAATCGCAGTACTAGTATCAGCTGTTAAGCTACTATTTCGTAATTTAGTTCTTATCTAATTATTGCTAAGGCCCAAGTGCGTAGATATAAAGTGATAACAAATTTGCTGGGTTCACTTGGGTTGCTAAGTGATTTAGTTGGCTGGGATTTGCTGCTCCTAATAACACGTACGTATGCTCTGACGATTTTTGGCCGAGTGTTGGTTCCGGTGACCCGCCGATGTCGTTCGTCTGTGTGATTTTGTAGAAAATCTGAACCGTAGTATTGAACAATGATTTCGTCGTGCTGTACTTCGCAATTCTCCATTTTTCTGTAGTTTCGCTAGATGTAAACATTGTGTAATGCCGTAATACATACTTGCTTTGTACTTTTACGTTTTGTAATAGCGCTACAGTTTTTTCATACGACTGCACTAAAAAGTTGTATATTGTGCGTTTTTATACTGTAATTAATTATGACTCTCAAAATCATGTTGGCTTTGCCCGGTGCAGGTACGTACAGTACTTTGAACTTTCCGTACACGCTACCGGTACGTAGTGTTTTATTTTTTGAAGTGAAAATCTTTTGGCAGTTCTGTCACATTCCGTGTACAGTGTACTTGTAAGCTGCACCGGCACGTACTTGCCGCAAATTGCTGAATTCTGTCTATTTCTTAATTATTGTAAGTTATTATGTCAGTCGCGTTATGTAAAAATTAATCTATTCACTATCTGTCGTACTAATAATATTTACTTAATTACTGAAGAGTGAAGTACTTATTAGAACCGCTGTTATTCAATCAAAACTAACGGAAGTTTTAAAGGCGTTTCAAAGGATACGAATCGTGTTATACGGTATTTTTTATTCTTACCGATACAACGGTACATGATTACTATTTACTTCGTATGCACTTGCAGTTAAAGAAAATTTTTTTCGTTTTACGCACGTTTGGGACGTTTTGGTCTGAACTCTGCACCACTCTGTAGCGTGCACTGTGCAGCAGGCTGGTGACGTCACGCTTGCATTGGCTTTGGCAGGGTTGCAAATGCACAGTGCGCCGTATTGCAGCGTAAACCATAAAGCATACGTACCTCGAGGCCTTGAAATTGGTGTTGGTGTTTTTCGTTTGTCTGTTAAATATTTCGACTTTTAGATCTGAACACACGTTAACTTGTGTAACTGTTTGCACAGTTGCTTTCTGACTTTAGTGTTGCATTATTATAAAAATGTATTTGCGATTGCTGTATTTGTTGGAAAGTGCACAGTACTTGACAACAACTGGCAATGAGTGGACCGAACATTTTCATTTGCTAAAATCGTTTTATGACTGACATCGTTATGACTGCTATCGTACAATGCCCAAGCAGTGTTTATCGGAAGACGACATCCTGTCGCATCTCCCGTGTGCAGTGTATCTGCCCACGTCCATCTTCTACCGTCATAAGCAGAAGCAGTTGGCAGTGTGCTCTAATCTTACCACTTCCACAGGGAGCAAGAAAGCCACTTCAAACAGTGTCTCGACACCATCGAGTAGTCCCCCGAAGAATGCTGCGAAGACCAAAGAGACGCCGCCGTTGGCCACTATTTCCACGGGTATGCAACGCAGAAATGCGCGTCTCTTGCAGGGGGGAAACAGGTCCATGTTGTGCTTTGCAGACACGGAGAAAACGGCCCTGACGGGATCGGGAATCGCTCCGAAGAGCGTCCGCAAACCTCGTAAGACCAAAGCCAGTGCTGGTAAGGGGTAGCAAACTGTAAAAAATACTTGAAAATCCTTACCTACTTCTTATGAAAATAATAATAAGTAAATTCAATAGCATATTAATAAAACAAGAACACTAAAAATTTATAACCTAATTCATGGAAAAATAATTTAAGTACGGTACTACTATTCTTGATTACTGTAATTCTGCTACTCGTACTGAATTTATAAATTACAATCAGTTATGTCCATTATTCATAATAATTCATAAATTAATAACATAATAAGAATTTGCCAACGTTCTTAACATGATTTACAATAAAACAGTAATACATAAAAAATTATCAAAATTATTAACAACGGTAATAAATGATTGTAATAATTACAATCATTTATTATTTTATTTATAAATTATTTAAAAATTCAGTAGCAGAATAATCACGTAACGTAATTCGGGATAACTCATAAATACATATTTGATTGTGATGGTATTGCGGGATTTGCAGCGCAATCCGTACCCGAAGAGAACTTGCTGGTCCCCCGAGACTCTCCCTCCACCTCCCGCGCCTCCACATCCGCGCTCTCGTTGAAAGTCGTTCTGCGGAAGCCGCGCCTCGACGTCCCGGAGGATTCCCCGTCCCACTCCCCCTTGAGCACCGTCTCGGTGTCGCCGCCCGCCAGTGTCCTGCCCAGCGGTCGGAAGCGTCCAGCCGAGGGTGGATCCGGCGGACCGGGTCTGAAACGCCGCACCTCCTCCGTGATGATTGCCGAGTTAGGGGAGGATCGCTTCAACATGACGAAGAACATCTACGCCAGCGTTAGTCTGGCGAAACCCAAGAAGGAGGTGAAGGATTTGGGGGTGTGCCAGTGCTCGATGCCGCGGATACCCGGGGAGAAGGGCTGCGGGGAGACGTGTATGAACCGGCTGCTGTTTATTGAGTGTGATCCGGTGTCGTGCCCGACGGGCGAGCGCTGTTCCAATCAGGGGATTAGGAACGGGGAGTTTGTGAAGGATCTGGAGGTGTTCGATACGGAGAACAAGGGCCGAGGAGTGCGGACCCGCTCGCACATTAAAGCTGGTACGTAAAAAACTGAAATAAATTCCGAATTGCTACTCCTTTTTTGTGCCGGTGAATTTCGCTTGTTTTATGGAGCAGTTAACCCATATTTTAATTTAGTATCTCCCAGAATCCGTTCAAAAATGTGGTTGATCATCAACAGGCAGTTAATAGATCGTAGTCGAAGTACTATTTTGCCTACTCGTATTTCAGATCGAACCTCCAATAAAAACTTTAGCAACAGTTTACTTATCAAACTTCAAAACAACCAGAATTGCAAACTCAAAATAATCACAAAAAGTTATCGATAATCAGCAATGTATGAAAGCGTTGCTGACGTATTAAAAGCGCTTTTACAGAAAAAGCATAGCTCGTACGCGAAATTCGTCCTTCATAAAAATAGTGCACGCTACAGATGCAATAACTAAGCTATCTGCATTCTAAAGTACAACCGGAGTACGTCAAAACGGTCGGGGATAATTGCAGATTTAATTCAGTTCTGTTATTCTTTATGGTTATAGGTACACTGGTGTGTGAATACCGCGGTGAAGTGATTTCAGTGGAAAAGTTCAACACCCGAATGAGCAAAGAATACAAGGAATCGCCACACCATTATTGTCTGAAGCTGGATGGGAACACCGTGATTGATGCGTACCAGTGCGGAAGTCTGGCGCGCTACATCAACCATTCGTGTGCGCCGAATTGTCACGTGGAGAAATGGACCGTCGATGGACAGCACCGGATGATCATCATCGCTTTCAAGGACGTTGCGGCTGGGGAAGAGATCACTTATGATTACAACTTTGACAACTACAGTCGCCAGGTACAGATTATTTTGGTGGTGTGAAAAAATTGTTATTTTAATTCACGCATCACGTATTTTTATAGCAAAAGTGTTATTGTGGAGCCAAATCGTGTCGCGGCATAATCGGCAGTAAAAAGCAGAAACTCAACGGTTTATTGATGATGAAGAAGGCCACGACCGCGGACGTCGTCAATGGTCTGGATCGGGCCATGTCCGAGCGCTCGGATGTTTCGTCCCGGTCCGGAACGATCCTGACGTCACCGCCATCCATCGGTGTAATATCCAGGCCGGAGAAAACGGTCTGCATCCAGCGACGTTTATTGTTAGTACGGAATACGCGGAACACGATAAAAACGGGGACACAACGTGGGAGGGTGTACGATAGTGGCGATATGGATGTGCGTATGCCGCGTCCACCGTGGCAGAAGACGTTGGAATACGTAAAACCCGGTTCAAGACGCTCGGTAGGTTTCCGGTTTTTTCGTCTGATTTTTGTTGATATTTATTTTTTTCTTCGCAACTAAGCCGCGTGCTGTGACTTGTGAATTTATTTAACGAATTTCGTATTGAACTGGTTTACTGGATTTCTAGCTACAGCTTCTTTTCAGTTATTCAATTTTTATTACGTCTTTTTTATTTCTTCGGTATGATTTCATTTTATGTTTACTGATTTTTCTGTTAATATTCTTTTAAACAGCCGCTTGTTTTGATCTATTTCGGTTTATTAGAATGTTTGTCTGTTTGCAGCAAAAGCCGCCAATTCTTCCCAGCGCTCCGTACTTCTTGCAGACCGTCAAGCAGGCTGTGGAGAGCGACGCGGAGAGGAACAGTCTGCCTTTGGAATCTCCTACCAGCACCGACGGCTTCTTTGTGCCGCAGAATGAACACTTTCCCGCCAGTCATTTTCAGCCGGTTCACTGGGAGCCCAGTCAGGAGGATGTGTCTATGTTCACCCGGGAGTATCACGAGCAAGTGATCCGGTGCGCGTGCAATGGATTTCTCGATGAAGGCCATCAGATCGAGTGTGAATTTTGCAAGGTAATGAATGGGCTTCCAAAATCGCTGCCTGTTTTTAGCATAGTTTGCAGTAGAAAAAAAACTTAATTCTCTGTAATAAGATCTAAAGCGCCTAAGCTTACAAAAGGACTTGCACTTCTAAAAAGTTATGGAGACGCAGTTTTTGTGCCTATAAACAGGTAGTTGGCGTTTGGTTGGCGGATTTACTTACTAAAAAATAGAATTGGCTGTTGGGATAGAGTTCTTGTTTGCAATCGTAGAGAAATGGCGCATTTTCAACCTTGCATACTTCTGTACGTTCTGCTTATAATTCGGGATTTTGAACATTCCAATTTACGGGATATTATCCATAATACGACCAGTTTAATATCTAAACGCTTTCTGGAAAATGCGAAAAACTTTTGCCAGAGAAGTGCAGATTTGACAAGTGTAATTTCCATTTTGGAATAATTGGTATAGACATTAGATATTTTGGGCGTCGCATTCTCCAATGGTTTCTCGTAAATTTTCCGCATACATTGTGACTGATTTTGCAGTGCTGGCAGCATACCGAATGTATGGGTCTAATCGCCAAGAATCTCAACGAGTTCACATACCAGTGCGAACGCTGCTCCCCGCGTCCCATCCCCCGCGAAATCCCGCAGAACCTCCCGCACAGCAGCAATCCCGACAACCTCGATCTCTACGTCTCCCTGATGGTGCCCAACATTCAGGACTTCCAGCTGCGGGTGGGTGACTGTGTGTACCTCACCCCGAACCGGCGGCCGCCGCCCTCGCGGGACACCGTGTACAATCTGCGGGAATTGGATCTGCTGCGCATTGATAAGATGTTCGTGGATGCGGATGGCACGAAGCGGGCGTACGGGCAGCCGTTTCTCTGGCCGCATGAGACCATTCACGAAGCGACGCGGTCCTTCTACAAAAACGAGTTGATTTATGCGCCGGCCTTCGCCGAGTCGGTGGCGCTGGAGGCGGTGCTGGGGAGGTTCTGTGTTATGGAGTCGCAGTTGTTCGTCAAGGGGAAGCCACGGGAATTCCCCCTGGAGCACTGCTATATCTGTGAATGGAAGTACCATAAGACGACAAATATCTTCTCGCGGATTATGCTGAAGGATAGGTAAAGCATACAGCAGTGTATTCGTGTTGCGATAGTTGTATCAAGTCGAAATAAAAAATAAAAGATAGTTAAAATTGTAAATCAAATGTTATCGAGCGACGTGATAATTTAAAAATTGAAAATAACTGTGAAGCTATTGGTGAATGTGAATTGTGGATGGGTAGTATGACGGTGTAAATTTGTAGGTACGAAGCAGTAGTAGCTGCAGTACTGTATTAGTTTTTGTTTCTGCAGGAGGTTTGCTTTCTCTTTAGTCTACAATTAATATTATTAGGATTTAATTTCCGGTTGATGCTAGCTTTGGGAGTGCTTCTCACTCCGAAATTGTTTATTAAGATTATATGTTTACTAGCCAGTGAAGATTATCAACTTAACTCGCATAATTTTTGGGCCGCCAGTGTTTTTTTCCGAAATAGTTCTTGATTATTGTGGCGGTTTCGTAGTCTGTACTAATAATACGGATGAAAACCGTAGTGTAATGAGTAGTTGACTGGTTTGGTGTGATATATAATGCCGCTCATTTTCCCGGGCGCCGTCTGCTGTACAAGAGAAAACATCATATATATTTTTTGCGTTACATTTTCCGGCTACTCGCTCTATGTATGCCGCTCTATGTAAGCCGAACGTATGCCGTTTGAGAAGCCCACAGATGTTTAATTAAATTCGTCAAATTAGCACCGGATTTTTTGTGGTTGATATTGATTGTGAATGCAATTGCAGGGTCCCGATGAACATGAACAAATTCTACTTTGAAACGTACACCGAGCGGCTGAGCCTGAAGAAAAACTACAGACCTCATAAGGTGCCCGTGCTGAAAAAGAAATTGAAGGCCGATGCTGCCAAAAGGAAACAAGAAGACGATTCGCGGCGGATATCGGATCTTATGGTACGTTTAGGTTTCTGTGAATCAATGTTATGCCAGTACACTACGATTTCTGCATGGTACACCAAAAAACTTAGTCTTAGAAATTTAAATATCGAGCGACGTGATGATTTGGAAATTGAAACAACTGAATCTTAGCATGCGAGCTATCAAGATAAAAACTAAAAGAAAAATTATGGGGAATGTAGAGAATTTCGGTGTGGTGAGGTAAATTTAACAATATTAGACAAAAATAATATTAATAATTTTTATTATCAAAGAATATGATTTTTGCTCTTTTTGCAGAAGGAAAGGTGTGAGAATATCCAGAAAATTACAACCAAGCTGATACAGAACAGTACGCACAGATCGGGAATAACCGTCAAACAAGGAAACCGTGGACGTTCCAAGGCGGATTAATACGATGTGTTGGCCTTTGAAGTGGTCTCTGCTCATTTGACTGGTCGCCTGCCTATTGCAGCTGTATTGGGTCTTTTCCGGGGGAAACTCTTCCAGATTTCCGGGGACACTGCGGGACATTTTTGACATTGTACATTTTGGATGGAGAAAAAGGCAGTTTATACAGGCTCTTGTTGTTTGCCCGTTATAGTATTTGTATCACGTTTCCTCTGCAGTAATCTTCATCAGACGTATCAGGGAGAATTTATATTACGTTTACAGGGGGTATTATTTTTTGGTGGTTTTATGAAGGTAGCTATACAGAAATTTTTCTTTTTGTTTTTTAAACGAAGTTTTAAGATTTTACTTTTTCCGTGTGGCATATGTGTGTCGTGTCTTTTCTAAATTTATTTATTTTTTATGTTTATTTTCTTTCCCGTGTGTGTTCTTTTAAAATACCCGTCGTTCGTTGATGTACATAAACTGAATCGGAATGATACTTGTGCTAATAAAAATTAAAGTTGACAGATTGCTAATCGCATAGTTTAAAGTAATCGTTCCGCACCGCGCGAGTTTGGAAAGAGGAAACTCTTTTTCCAACAATTTTCATTTAGCCGGAATCCATAAATCAATCAATTTGTACCAATCAGTGAATTATTCAATAATGTGAGAATTACAGTATGTAACTGATGCAAGCTGGTAAAAGTTTCATTTTTCAATTTTGTATTTTCATACACAACAAATCTTTCATATTTTCTATGACAAAAGATCAGATCGTAAGGTCACTTTTTAGCTCGTTTTGCAATCATGCACAGAGAACCGTCAAACTCGCGCAAGTAATAACGTACTTAATTTGCATTGACATGTTTTAAATGAAATAATCAACAAACGTATAATATTTCATAGCACTATAAAAATATTAAATAATACTGTACAGTAAAAATAATCAACAACGACCAGATGACAAATTCTCAGCCATCGGCATTCAGTTTCTTGGTTAACAGTTGGAAGAGGACCTGTTGCTGCTGCTTCATCGTCTCCAGATGCTGTGTCCGTTCGGCGATCTCCAGATCCTGTTTCCGCCGTTCCATGTCCAGTTTCTCGCGCTCCAGACTCACCTTGCGCGTCTCCATCTCCACTTTGTCGGCTTCGATCTTGAGGCGCAGTTCTTCCAGTTCGGTGTCTTTTTTGAACTTGAGTTCGCTCAGCTGGACTTTGCGCATTTCGAGATCGAGGTGTTCGCGCATTAGCGCTAATTTCTGTTTCTGATACATTCCCTGGTCACCGGTGTCGGCAAAGAGACGCTGGATCTTGAAGGAGGAGCCAGGAGATCGGCGGATTCCACGATGGTCTCATCTAGAGAAAATCAATAATTAAATTAATTAAACTTTATTGAAGTTTTCCAAAATTACAAAAACTTAATTTTAAAAAAAATTTTTTAAATTATGTACTATATTAAAACAGAAATTTTAGTTTTAAATTCCAGCTTTAAAATTAATCGACAAAAAATCTGTAAAGTAATTAAAAAATTGACTAAAAATGTTATTAATATTAATGCATATGCTTACCGTGTGTCCGCTTATTAGACTGGACATAGGCCACGCTGTCGGCCGTGAGCGGCATCGCGGTAACCGTCTGCCGGATGACCGGTTTCCGTTCTACCGGTGGGCGCGGACTGCGGTCCGTTTTGATCTCACCGACAATGGACACGCCGCCATTGCTCTTCAGCCGGATGACCTCCTCCAGCAGCTGCATCATCTCGGCGTTGGTCTGCATCGTCTGACCGCACACCGACTTGCGCATGGCATCTTCCGACTGCATCGTACGCAGCAGCCGGGCCAAGCGATCCTACAATCAAGATGGAAACACACATTACAATCACGACCATTCGTAGAGCAGTGGCACGGGGTGAATGCATTATTCGAGCTTGGATTATAAAAGCCGTACTTCAGTCACAATACACTGAAATTTCGTTAACTGTTAAACAAAATTTTATTCTCATTCATCGTGTGATGTTGCGCGCACTTTTTCACAGATTATTTTCTGCACCCATTGAAAATAAATACTATGTACACGCGCAAGCGCTAATCCAAATAATCATCTAAATAATATAATCTGTACTCGTCAGTGAAAAACAAAAAGATTTTTTATCTACTCTGTATGCTAATTTTTATTAATGGCATTCATAAATCATAATAATACCTGACAGCTTTTAATGGTGCAGTCGTAGCCCATCTCGTGCAGCGCCGTCTCGATCTCATCCCACACCGCGCCCCGCTGTCCGCGCACCCCGAAGGGATTCCGCTCGACAATCAGATGCAGCAGCGCCATGTCCTCCTCCACGGTGAAGTGGTGCCGGCCCTTATTCCCGTTGCCGGTGCTCAGGGGGATGCCGGACGTCTCCTCTTCGTTCGTCGCCGACGGTGAATTCGCCTCGGTGCCATTGTGGGTGACGATAAACTCCTCCATCCTGAATGGTCAAATAAAAGTGCCGCAAATCTACGAGCTACAGCCACCATTGCAGAGCAACACTAGAAAAACCCTTGCCAGCAACCGGAAATGTGAGTTCACATTTGATACAAAAATAAAAAAAAATTATTCCAAAAAATTGTAAAATCAATGTTGCCGTTTACAGTTAACCGTAGTTAGCTGGTACGTATTTATATATAGTATATTTTCCGTTACATCTTCCTGTCAGTATTCTCCTAGGAGAGAAAAAAGCAACAGGAAACCACCCAAAAAATAATACTAAAATTAATTATGCTTTTCTTAATCGTTGGTTTCTTTCGCTTGTATTATCAAAAATCTTGTGACCATAGAATGAATTATTATAATTTCCAATGCTTTTGGTACACTCAAACGTAAACGATTATCGAACTGCAACTGAAAAAAGAATTCCCGCGAAGCAGCTAAGGAGAAGTCGCGAGAAGCAGCTAAGGAGATCCTTTTGAAATCTGCTCAAATGAAAATTCAAAATGATACGGGTTTTCTCACCTCTTTGTTCAGAAATCAGAATCCAAATGGAAAGATGAGAGAGTCCTTCAAGTCACTTTGACTCGGATAAAACCACTAATAACGGCTGATGATTAGCTGGCAAAATAGACAAGACTGGGTTCGAGTCCGCTGACTTGAAAGTTTCATCCGAATGAGTCCTCTCACATGTCAGCAGACGTCAAAGACGACTTCGAGCACACAGCACGCGCCCTTGTGCAGCTCGAATCACTGAACCGAAGCCCGAACAACGAGTCATACGAAAGAGTCACGCCCACCACACCTCCAGGCCCGCAGTGACGCTCAATCCAACCGCCCCCGGCTGCCAGCCGGCCCAGGCCATCAGCGGTGGACGGAGAGCACACCGAGCAATTCGGTAAATCAATCTAGTGAATTTACAGTGGAATTTTGCTATGCATCCATTAATGCAAAAGACAGTTGAAATGGAAATGAAGTCAGAAGAACGCGGCTTTTACTTACATTTGTCTGAGCTGCAGCACCGGGATAACATACCGAGGCGGTGAGCAGGCGACAAGTATTGACAATGCTTTATCAATGTGACTGCTGCCAAATACGCAAATTTAAATATTCAAAATGTTTAACTTTGTTCTTAAGCAGTGTATCCATGTTGAAAAATTTATAATAATATTTACTTTAGGCAGTATGAATGCAGGTTTTTTGTTTTCAGCCAAAGAAAGTGTTATATGATAGAAATTAGCATACCCGTCTATGGCAGACCTGGTGCTGGCTTTTCTCTATTTTCTCGTAGAAGACTATGTTAACTCGGAGAGTCATATCATTACTCTGCAATCAAAATAAATAACTCCATGCATACCGTTTAAAAGTATATATTATTATGTATTTTCTGCCTATGTACAATTTTGCTAGAACAACAAGTTAAACATTTTGAATCATTTAAAATTTGCACGTAATTTGGCAGTCACATTGAGTAAAGCATTGTCAGTACTGCCGTCGCCTGCTCACCGCCTCGGTATATCCCGGTGCTGCGGCTCAGACAAATTCTAAGATAAAATTGCCACAAACGATACTTCTGCACTGTTAGTATATCTGCTCTCGTCAGAACACGCTTTTTACGATTGCGCACTGCGCAGATCACCTGCAGGAAAACATTTTTTTCGTCGGTAAAAATGTGAAAATCTGGCAACGATTTTGATTGATTGCTCCTAAATCATCCTGCACAAAGCTATCCTGACTGTGAATTTTACTCCTGTTTATTTCCATCTGTATGATTATCGCTGGCAGTACCAGCTGAAGCATGTGAATCGTACCTGAAAAACTTACGAAAATAATCTGACTATTGCATTTGCGTGCTTCGACTACATCGCTTGTGTGTACTTATTGCAGCAACCTTTGGCAGCTAATTTTAATTTCCCCAGTTTCCCTCCCAAATCGTGCAGACCATGATCAGGATGCGTGTCTTGCTCAGTCCCTCCGCTCGTCCCCTGCTCAAACACTGTTTTGGCGTTCCAACCTCATCCAATGGATACTTCGCCTTGCCTAGCGTGTTCTTCAGCACGAAACCCGCGCATCCCATCGGGGACACCCGCATCTATCCCAGCGCGGCCGCCGCGGTGCAGGACATTCCCAACGGAGCGAAACTGCTGGTGGGCGGCTTCGGGTTGTGCGGGATCCCCGAAAACCTCATCGCGGCGCTGGTTAAGCAGGGGGTGAAGGATCTGACGGTGGTGAGCAACAACTGCGGTGTGGATGATTTCTGGCTGGGACTGCTGCTGCAGACTAAGCAGATCAAGCGGATGATTTCGTCATATGTCGGGGAGAATAAGGAGTTCGAGCGGCAGTATCTCAGTGGGGAACTGGAAGTGGAGTTAACTCCTCAGGTTGGGTTCGTAACATCTTACTGAATCTTACGTATACCGATGTAACTTATAGACGATATTTGATATTCTGTAAATTTATTGTTAATATGTTATAATATGTAAAGGTTTTGGTATCACTGAAAAATAACTGCAATGCCCTGCTTTTTTTGCAATACTGCTAGATAACGACAAGTCGACAACGGTGTAGACGAGTGGCAAATTAGCAACACATGATCATGATATGGAAGTGACTCCGAAGTGTGCAATTGTGCATAACACTAACAGGCATATAGACAGGCATATCGACTAAATTAATTTAGATATTTAATTCATTTTTATCAAGTTTTCGTTCTGCTTGGCCTTGGTTTGCGATTGTTTATTATCAGTTGCTGTTTAATTAGATTTTTACCGACGGTCACGCTATAAGTTCTACTGTAAAATATTAATATCATTTTTTTTAATTTGGCAATCTGCGCATCTCAGAGTAGGCAAAGGAAAATCATGTGAATTTTTTCAGGGCACACTGGCTGAGCGCATCCGCGCGGGCGGTGCCGGCATCCCGGCCTTCTACACGCCCACCGCCGTGGGCACCCTGGTGCACGAGGGCGGCGCCCCCATCAAGTACGGGCCCAACAACAAGATCGACATCGCCAGCCGGACCCGCGAATCCAAAATGTTCAATAACCGCGAGTACATCCTGGAGGAGGCCATCACCGGCGACTTCTCCCTGGTCAAGGCGTACAAGGCCGACAAACTAGGCAATCTGGTCTTCCGCAAGACGGCCCGCAACTTCAATCCGCCCATCTGCAAAGCCAGCCGCATCACCATCGCCGAGGTGGAGGAGATTGTGGAGGTGGGCGAGCTGGATCCGGAGCAGATCCATGTGCCGGGCATCCACGTGCACCGGCTGGTGCAGGGCGAAAAGTATGAGAAGCGGATTGAGCGTATGACGCTGAAGAAGGCGGACGAAGGGAAGGGAGGAGATGATTTGGATGCCATTATGAGGGAGAGGATTATCCGCCGCGCGGCCAAGGAGTTCAAGGACGGGATGTATGCCAATCTGGGCATCGGGATCCCCATGTTGGCTAGCAACCATATTCCCCAAGGGATGAAAGTCCATCTGCAGAGGTATGTAAAGGACGCTTTCAGAAACGGTTGAGGCTGTATTTGTTTCGCTTTTTTCAATAGTTTCTGTTTTTTTTATTGCCAAACGCATTGGGTTCTGTTTTCCGATATGAATTGGGCTTTCTGTGGGATGTAAACCGTAGAGAAAGTGACTGGAAAATTGCACTGCGATCGCGACGGTTTATTTTTCCATTTTTTGCTTATTTGAAATGAGTATTGGTTTTTTATTTAAGCACCTTTCTGTGTTTCTAGGAAAGTTCTTATTTTATTTATTTTATTGAAGTACAAGTCTCTCACTATGGAGGTACAGTACTTGTACCTCACTGGAGTATTTAATCACAAACTTGGCTGTAGGAAAAAGTAAGTACAGTATGTATATGTAACAAATAATATTAAAATTATTATTATAAAATTAATATTACTTATTATTATATTAACAAATAAATAACTGCAAGTTAGTTGAATCTTTGAGTATTTTGCTTTTAAAATAATTTTGATAGTTTGAACTTTAAAGGAACTTTGTTTTGAAGTTGCAATGGACTTAATGGAGTTTCTTATCCTTAGTAGAATGTTTTGGTAGCCACTGGTGACTGAACACTTGCAAGCTATAAACTGACGAATGCTTATGAGTTGTATCGTAGTGCAGGGACTGTTGGCCGTACACGTAATGGCGTAGTTGAAATACTCATTTATATTGGTTTAGATGATGGCATGGTTTTAACGATGAATTCATGACAATAGTATGTGAACTGTTTTTTTTTACCAGAACCCCTTCTTAATTTTTAGTGAAAACGGAATTCTGGGTCTGGGTGAATATCCCACCAAGGAGCAAGTGGACGCCGATCTGATCAACGCCGGCAAGCAGACGGTGACGGTGCTGCCCGGCGCCAGTTATTTTAGCAGCGATGAATCCTTCGCGATGATCCGCGGTGGGCACATTCACTTGACGATGCTGGGCGCCCTGCAGGTGTCGAAGCGCGGCGATCTGGCCAACTGGATGATCCCCGGGAAGATGGTCAAGGGGATGGGCGGCGCTATGGATCTCGTGTCGGCCAGTGCAGCCGGAACAAAGGTGATGTGGTTCACCGTAGATTGGTTTAATTTTGGATAATGTTAACGGTGCTTGTCCGTATGTTGGTTGGTGCAGGCGTTCGAAAATATGTGTGGACCGATTTATAATCGTAACAGCGAATATCCGAGATAACATCGAAATATACGTTTAATAATAATGAAGTAATAAGCTTGATAGTTTAATAATAAAATCGAAATGTTCGTTTAATACTTCTATGGAAATATTCGTGTGAGCAATAAAATTGTTTTTTGTATATTTGTTTGAAAGCTGAACTTGTGAAGTAATGCAAAATGGTGGCTGCGTACATAAATTGTGTGCTATCGTAGTATGATGGCTATTAATGGCGTATGACGTATTTTCGTGTCGAGGCTGTCGATTGCATTTTACTGCTCGAATTTTCCCAAGAGAAAGAAATTACATTTTTTCATTATTTATTCGTGGTTTCCGTATAGGTGGTGGTCGTGATGGAGCACACAACGAAGAAGAACGATCCCAAGATCCTCAACGAGTGCACACTGCCGCTGACCGGTAAAGGTGTCGTGGATATGATCATCACGGAGAAGTGCGTCTTTGTCGTGGACAAGGCCAATGGAACACTGCGCCTGACGGAATTGGCGGAAGGAGTGGCGGTCGCCGATGTGATCGGCACGACGGGCTGTGAATTCGAAGTGGATGCCAATGTGAAAACCATGTAGGAAAATCCGGGGGAAATGGATTTATTTATTTTTCTGGGAACGGGGTGTCCGGTGATATTTGGCAGGCGGTGGAGGTTGTTTTTTATTGGGATTGGGTTTTATCGTCTTATCTGTATGACCGTATCTGACCGCGGCAGTGGATTATTTAAGGATGAATGCTTTTTCGCGGCGATAATTTGAGCAGTTGTTTTATGCTGGCATAATGGAAATAAATTTGATAGAAAGACGGACCCGACGTGCTAATTAGAGATTGATGCATGTACGAGTACAAAAAGAGCATAAAACATATTCAAAAAAGCTCTGTTTTTATTTCAAATGCAGTTATGACAGTACGCGCTGTTATAATTATTGAACGTATTAATTTTACTTCTGTTCCATATGATGCACTGTATGAAAGAATTTCTAATAAATATTGTGATGACACTAACCTCTGCGAAATGGCAATAGTTGTTTCCACCCTTAAGATTTTTTAAAATGAAAGAAATTAAAATGTAGCAGTTGACTGTGTCTGTATATTGAAGGATATCATCATAAGGATGGCGGTTGAATCTACATTGTAGCACTACTTTGCAAATTTTTGCTGACCTACAGTCCATCTGGTCTGGTCAGTTGTATATCCTGTTTTAACACCAGCTTGTACAGTATGCTGTCTGTTCATTTTCGAAAAGGGACGCTGGAGACGGCAGCCGGCACAACCAGGATAAGGTCAGGCACACTATATGCCCGAGAATATTATATAGTGTGCCTATATTGGCGATCGAAGTATTCGGAATATTTCGGAAGCGTAACAAAACTTTCACTGCTCCATGCTCAGTCAGCAGTTACTTATCGACCCCAGTACATCAATCGCTTGGACAGAATTTGATGTTCATAATTATTGAGTTTAAACCGATGACAGAGCGTTATCAATATAGGTTTGAATTTTATTTACGGCTCCAGCGTTGGACTTCACATTAATAAGGCTTACAGTGTAAATCTGAGGTACGTAAAAATGGTTATCGCGTGTTGTATTTTCTCTAAGACCAGGAGAAAGAACTTAGTCATTATCGTGTTATATTTTCTATGATACTGCATTTTTTAAGAAGAACATCTTTTTTCCTCAGTTTTGTTTTTTGTCAACATAGTTTAGCGAATCTCTTCGGATGCTGGAAAACGCACGAAATTAGCGTAACAGTCGGCGAAAAAAATCTTGAAAAGTTCGGCTAACAGAGAATTAGCAACACTTTCTAACGTAATGAAAACCATTAAAATTCGCTGCTTTGTATTAACAGTTATTTTTATATGCTTAGATGTACTTACACATTCTGCCCGATATTGTACTTGTGCCAGAAATTAAAGGTCAGCAGATAAGATAAGATAGCGGACAAACTTTATATGCGTCATTTCATAAACACAGAATCATCACGATGCCAAGAAGCAGTTTTCGATTAGCATATGTATCGTAGATAATGTCTTAAGTACTTACAAATTAAGATGCAGCCCAAGGGAGAAGAAATCCATAACAAATTAAAAATGCTTTACAATTATCCCAGAATGTATCTATATCCGTACAGCGGTTGTCGGCTGTGTCGGGCTCCTCGTGGTCAGCTCCGGTCCGTCGGTGCGTATATAGGGTTTCAGCCCGAACACAAACTCATTCTCCCCCAGCAGCACCAGGCGCGCTGTCTGTCCGAATCCCGCCGACTGCTTCTGCATTTCATGGGCGGCGGATTGCTCCGCCTCCTGGCGAGCCATCTGCAGGGCGGGATGGAGATAATATGCGGGGAGATATCCCTGGGATAACTGTCCGTATTGGCGAGCCAATAGGGCCGCGTACGCCGTGCCGGGATCATAGACAAACTGGGCGTCACTAACAGGGAAGCGCCGGCATAAGCCGAATATGAAGACGGACACGATACCGACGCGCACGGCCGGAGAGAAATCGAGTTTCATGACGTCATTCGGACGGGTAGAGACTGATGTGCGGATTTTTATACGGGGATCATGTCGTGCAGGGAGTATGACCTTTATCACTACATGGAGGACATCCTAATTTAGTGTACTTATGACTTTACTGCGCTTTGTGCTTAGTCCTCTTGCGCAGTATACTTCCCTAGTCTTGTATGATACGCATAACATTGTCATATTTACCGATAAAAGTTTTGGTCTCCCGATGCTTAGTAACTTTGCATGGCATGTATCTATTTGTATATTTTGTAAGTATACTACAGTGTAACCCGTAAGTTGCATCTGTATGAATACGAGTGTAAGTAGACCTGCATCGTAATAAAAACAGCAATGTGCATACTGTGCTGTGACATACGAACATAATTATTAATAAAAATAGTTATTTATTTATATGTGTTGTTTCTAGGCGTATATGACTTTGTTTCTAGGCGTGTAACTTGTATGCTTTAAATATCTATAGACTGTACTTAGTAGATGAATTTTTAAGTGCTCGTAAGTCGTAATCAATGAAATGCACCGGTGATTAAGCAAGCGAAACTTCATAACAGCAAAGGGCTTGTGCACACCATCAAACTTCTGAAATTTACCATTATTTACAGAAGTGTAATAACCGTACTGTTATTCCTATTCGCAAACTGGTAAGATATACCATACCTAATACCGAAGATATACCGAAGTTCTATATCGTGCTTTTCATGTTCTAAGAATTGGTTTGAATTTGCTTGTACTTTTGCTCTAGTTCATGTTTTTCAGTGAGTGGTGGATCATTAAAGTACCAACTGCACCATATAATTACTTGTAAAGTTGTAAGGAACGTTAATTATTTAGTTTCAAATTTTCGCATAAAAACAAGTGCGCACGTATACGTACCAAAAAGTTCTAAGCAAGTCTTGCGAAATTACAGATGCCAGACAATATACCTGTCGACGCAAATCTTGTTGTTTGCAGGAACGCTAGAATGGGAAAAAAGAAACTACGAAAGCATAAGAAACGACAGATACGTCCGCTTCCGACCGGCACTGTTTGGGTAAATGATTGGTCCAGCTTGAACTGCAATAATCGACAATCTTCCACTTTCGCGACATTGGCCAACAGCGATTTGACAGCCCAAACCACACCCAATGCCTTCCAGCAAATGCCGAACGAGATACTGGCGGAGGTGTTCCACTGCGTTAACAGTTCCACCCATGACGACTTCAAACGGTTGGTGAAACAATGGTGCAAAACCCTATCACATGCAGATGTATATAGGATATCACACACCGGTAACAATATGTATGTTAGTATTTGTTATTCAGTGGTTAATCTTAACTGAAACAGTAATGGTGTGAAATTTAAAAAATTAAACATATGAACTGCAGATACTCTGTTACACTGTGTTATTTGTACAGCAGTATTTAATTTCTGTGTTTACTTATAGTAACTGGTAACTGTATTTTCAGGGTATGCGCACGCTGGTACGCCATTCTTTCCACTCCTCCATTCGCCACCAACGTCACACTGTATGCTCTCCCGGACATCCGTCGCTGCCAACATCGCGTCGACATGTGGGACACCTGCTGGAGAGGGCACTGCACGATCGAGCGCCGCACCATTCGGCGCCGTTGCGCCCTCACTAAACCCAGCAGCTTGACCTTTCGGGCCTACCCCCGGGACGCCGCTGGCCGTCCACCAGCGCCACTTTACTGCCGAATGCCCTGTGACCTTTGGGACTGGCTGCCTCACACCCTCACCAAGGTCACCATGTCGTCCATCCACGTCCGCTTGGCCAGTCTCGTCCAGCTGGCACGCACCTGTCGGGAGATCGTCCTGGCCAACGTGGAAGTCGCCGGTATTACGTCCATGGAGGAAAGACTGATGTGGGGTGGGCGGTATGAGTTGCGCTGGCCGGATATCGAGCAGTCAGGGGTGTATCGGGATTTCAGCTACCGGCTAGTTGTGCAGCGGGCGGTACTTCCCGGGGATGGTTTTATGGAGAGCATTTGGAAACTGATTGAGCGATTAGTGGCCGGGCAGATGACGGAAAAAACCACTTATTTGCAGCTGATACATGACTGCATAATGGAAAACTTGCAGGAAGCTGATGAAGATCGGAGGGCCCCCGTGGATTTGTTTGTCCAAAAGGTCATCCTTAGGTAATGGTAATGTTTTATATTCACACGAAAGCGTTCGATACGATTCCTGCCGTATTCACTGCAGTGTAAAAGCGCTTAAGATGTGGTGATAAGGATTTCTTATTACAGTAGGAATACGGACATTCCTTCGACACTGCTCGACCATATTGACGGCAATTTTCCATGGATCACGCTGACCGCCGCCACATTGCTGGAGCTGGCTACTGGGCTGAAAAGCCTTTTGCGTAAACCGTTCGAGCCGCTATATGTTGTTGTTGGTTGAGTTGTTGTTACAGTTAGTAAAATGTTAATAACTGTAATATTGTTTATTAGACGGTTTTTAAATTATAAAGTTGATAATTATAATGTTGTTAAACTGTAATGGGGATAAGCAAATTGACAAAGAAAGAACTAAGAAACTGTAGCGTTGATAAGAAACTGTAATGTTGACAACAAAAATGTTGTTGATTACAATTAATGTTGAATAATGACTAATGTGATTCAGACCTAATTCAGATCGTAATAATACTTCATTGTGGATAACAGTTTCACATTGTGGGCATCAATGTGCACCATGCAGTAGGCATCTATAAAGTAATTATAAACACTTAACTGTAATTCGGCAACTCAAAAGTGAGCAGGTGCTGTTGTCCCGGCAACTGGCGCGATGATCGGCATTTTAGCCTTTCGTTGTTCTTCATGGTTCGCGTTAGAAATTAAAACCAAACGATAAAACCAAAAAATTAATACAAGTGATAGCACAAGTGTTCTGTTAAGTACAAAATCTGATACATCTTAAAGTGGAAACATTTAATTTGGCACCCCATTTACGGCAAACTATTCGGGTCTGAAAATCGCGAAACATTAATTTCATATTTTATATGTATTGTCGGTAAACACGCTATGATCCCTGTTTCCTGGCACTTCCGGTTTACTTGTGTACTTAACAAAGTGTTTGCATATTTCGAGCTCTCGCAGAAAGATCATGGAGAGTATATATGCGACTCGTTTGAAGTCACTGGTTTGCGCACTGCGAGTACAGACTGCATTAAACTACAAAAATTATTGTATAAATATAACACCTGAAACCGGACTGATTTAATATGGTGCCGGTTCACGATCTTTCCCGGTATGATAGGACTATGAATTTCAAGTTTTATGCGGATTTTGTGGTTACTTCAATTCGAGAAAGCTTTAGTACCGATTGGTTTGGTTTTTTTAGGTGAGTCGCTATTCTTGATGTTTTTTCGATGAAAAGACTAGTACAGTAAATAGCTTCCGTGAATGAACGTGGGGCAATAATTAATATTCTTAGAAGGACTAGGCTCAAATAAAAATACCTACATGATTTTTATTCACCAATAGCCATGATAATGCATAACACTTATCGTATTTTACGAGTAGCAATCTCTCAATAACACAAGTTCTGCTTATTGTATTGTTAACTTAGTATGAAGTAATAAGAGAAATCAGATTTGTATCAGGGAATTTGGATTTTGCGATAAGTTCCACGTGGTTTTCTTGTTGCTAGTCCTATCGTAGTTGTGAATCTATCGGTCTCGTCTTATCGCTGTGCGTTAACTACATGTACACTAATTCAGAATTACGAAACTTACTTTCCTGCACATGAAAACTAGTATAAAACTTTGGAATTTTTACTGGCACCTAGAATCCTTTGTAGTAACAATTATCGTTTTACTACTGACACAGCTTGTCGCTTCGTAGTAGGAGTTTGTAATTTCATAATACTGCCGATTCTTTAACCATGATCCAAATTTTCGTATGTGCCCTTATCGGCATAACGCTATTTTGCTGCACTGTTATCGCCCAGCTACCGCAGCGAACGTGCCTCTCTGATTGGTCGTGGTCCGTCAAAGGACAGTGGGACTACGGCGTTATATGCAGGTACACTCCCATCACACAGTTTCTGGCCGATTACTCATCAAATCCTAATGCAATCCCGGACAACGTTATACGAATAATCATTAAGTGTCCCGGACCGCCATTCGTTGAAAAGTGGGCCAATCGCACCGAACGGGTGTATTGTAATCGCTTGCGCACCGACCACGCCAGTCTGCCTTTTCGCAACCAACTGGCTTGGGTTAGCTTGACCGGATTCACCGGAGAGGGCGAACAACGACCGCCGATCCGGCAGTTTCTACAACATGTACACAGTACCATCCAGGTACTCTCCATTCGGTTTTCGAGAATCGGCTACGTGGATGCCGATTTCTTTAACGCCTATAAGAAGTTAGCGTACCTTGACCTTTCGGATAACGACATTTACGACATCGCGCCTGACACCTTTCTGTCCGTGGAATTCGCCAATGGCGATTCACCGTTCTCCTACTGACGGAATATAGCAGTACAGTACGTAAAGTGACGGCTTGACTCGTACTTTCTATTATTCGCTGTACATTCTCGATCTTTCCTTTTGTGCTCGGATATACTTTTGGTTTGGTTTCTACACGGATGCGCCGTGTCTATATAAGTTCGTGAGTGGCAGTATTTTACATCATCAGTTCTCTCAGGACGAGTTTTGGCAGTTTCGGAGTTTCTAATTAAATTATCGTCGGAGATGCAGTTCTCGCTTCGCATAGATTCGTAGACTTAGCTATGCCACATTGAGATTATCAGCTCATACTCTGTCGTTGAGTAGGTCGGTAGGATAGATTATTACGGTAATTATTCCTATCGTACTGATCTCTCCGTCATGGCGCCCACCGATGTTCGAACCTTTCCGATGGCTTAGCTAAGTAAACTGTGATTGAAATTGTGATTGTGAATGTTGGCTTCTAGAAAGTGCTCAGTCCGGGTACAACTGTACTGACTGGACGGATGTCCGGGCAGCTGGTCTGCCGTCTGGACGCCTAAACGTTAGTAGTCCGGGTACTGGCGACGCTTTGGTAAGGAAACCCTGCTGATTCGTGCCTGCGACCCACGGCGAAAACCTGTAAATGTCCGGGGCTTTGCCCCGTCTGGACGCTGAGCAGTTTGTCCTGCCAGCAGGGCGATGCAGGGATAACCTGTAGATCGACCCATGAGCACTGAAGTGAATGAAATGAAAATGAAATGAATATTGAACTGATGAAATGACGAAAGTGAATTGATGAACTGATAGTGAAGCAGGTTCTCGTAGCCACTGGCCAGGGCAAGAGTTACCTAGAAATCTGAAGCGTAGCGGTTACGTAACCGACTGTGAGTAGACAAGAGTTCGAAAGCAGTTTCCTTGAGCTAAAGTTTTTATATGCCAGAGCAGTGCCTGCGCATATACAGTGTACACAATCTTGAGCTATAGTTTTGTATGCGAGAGCGAAAAGCGAGAGCATACAGGTGCACCTATCGTAGCGTAGCCATACAGCCAGAGCAGTTGCGAGTGCTGTGAGCGGTGAGAGAACACCGACGATCAAAATCTCTTCTGAAGTATCCGGGTTAGAACAAAGAGTCAACCCGGTAGTCAGCGTAACGAACACTGAAAACAAAAGCGTAGCTGAAGTTTCCGCGTAGGGACAAAAGCTTACCGGATAAAACCTGAAGCCAGTGCAATGGACACGGCTAAATTGAATAGAATGGAAAGTGATGCGTCGACTGCATACGATAATGCAGCAGATCGAAACGAAACTGAACGTACTGGTTTATTTCAAAATGGAAATGCCGTACAGTTTGGTGGAATCGCAGAAAATGAAGAATTCTGGAGTGATATGCACCCGTTGCAGGGGAATTGATTGAACTGTCGCTTGACCAGAATAGGTTTGAAGCAGCAGTTGAGTATTGGGATGTCAAAATTGATGATGAAATGAATGTTAATGAATTAAAAGAGATTGCTTGGGCATCTCTATATACTGCACTAGCCTTGCAAAGGAAGTACAGTAACGCAAATCGTATCTGTCATGCACTGAACGGCCGCAATACAGACATGGAAATAAGCAACAGTGCTCTAACAGCTGAACTGGTTAAACTGCGCAATAAAACTGGGAGTGTAGAAAATAAATGTCGCATTGAAAAAACACGAGCAGATGAACTGATGAAACGTCAGCTAGCTCTGTTGACAAAAATGGAGGAAATGCAACAAAAACCTGCTATCCGTGAAAAACTGCAGTACCCGCAAGTGTACGAAGGTATACAAGAAAGCGGTAAAGTAGAACGTTTCATAATGGACTGTGAACGATGCAAAGATTTGAATGGCTGGACTGAGAAACAATTGATTGAAAAAGGACTGTCGTACGCACTGAAAGGTGACGCGTATTTGTGGTATGTCGAAAACAGAAAATTAAATCCAGATAAAGACTGGATTTACTGGAAGACATTGTTAGTTAATCACTTCTCATCGGAGAGTGACCCGGCCGAAGTACGGCAAGCGATGTACGCACGTGCCTTCACAGAGGAAGACACAGTCAACTCGTACGTTGATGGCTTTCTGAATTGGTTCAATACTTTAAATACGAAAGAAGAAGAACGAGTTTCAGTACTCGTTCAGGGACTGAAGAAAACCCGAATGGAGTGGTATGGCAAGCTGGTCATATCAAAACCTAAGACTGTTGAAGACGTTATGGCACAGCTGAAAACGCTGTACGCACTGAAAGTGCAACGAAATGTACGAAAATGATGACTGTTGTGAGTATGAAGATGACTGTGAATATGTACAGTGAGTGTGAAAATGGTAATTTGAATGATGACGACTGTGAATATGATAAAAATTATGAAATCTACAATAATAACGGTAATAAGCCGTACATGATCGGAAATGTCGAAATCGACGTTAACAAATGGCGAACCGATAGCGGTCAGCCGATCTGTTTTAAATGTCACGAGTTGCATCCGGCTAAGTACTGTACATTTAACGGTAAATGGAAAGACGTTTCAAAGGAACCGCCGATTGAAGTGCTTAAGCGTTACAATATGAAACGACTGGAAGCACATTCACTGGAAATACGTACTGTACAATGTGAAGCAAAAGTGAATGAAAATGTGGAAACTGAAATGCGGCAGCACTCAAGTTTGCGGGGGCGATCAGTGCCCAATAAGCTACCGCCCGATGCGTTGCAAACGACTGTGGCCAGTCAAGTTTGCGGGGGTAAGCCGGATAATACTGAAGTAGCCTCTATGGCCAAAAATTTTGTAAATGAAAAGTTTTGGAAAGTTGAGCAGCGGAAGTACAAGGATACCAAACACTGGTATTACTTGTTCAGAAATCCCATAAAAGCGAAAAATAAATTTCAAAACGAAGAAATTTATCACATGATTGTGAGAAATGGATTGTTGTGTCGTAAGCGCACAGGAACTGGAATTGACAGAATTGTTGTGCCTAAACAATGGCAAGAAGAACTGATTGATTCAGTGCGAAAAAGATGTGCGAAAAACGAATTAATACCGCGTGGAGTGTCAGTTCAACAGTATCTGACCACTCGGTATTATTGGCATAATATGGAGAAAACTATTGAAAATGTTTTGAAGAAATGTGATAACGCTGAAGTAACTGGAAATGTTGAAAATGTGTCAGATTGTGCTAAAATGCGTGATATTGAGTGCGTAGCTAAACTGTGCAGTAATTTGCAGATCGAAAAAGTTGAAATGTGTCTTACGCAGTCGCAGGGAAAAAGCCCGTGCACTACGAACTCGGTGCAATACGAGTATAATTGGGCTGGTCGACGCATTGACGCAGATGATTATGAAAAATCTGAATTTGTGAATCAGACTTTAGCGGATTTAAAAAATGCTGTAACTGAAGTTGATGGTCAAGAAGTCAAAATGGTGTATGAAGAGAAGTCCAGTGATGTAGACAATTCGCCTGTGAATTTCTTGGGATTTTATTCCCGAAGATATCCTTTCTGAATGCCGCCAAACGCTGATTGTGTGTGCTACGAGAGTCGCATTGGTAACCGCCTCCGGTGTTACGCTGACTGACTATTTGCGTTTACTTGCGTTTCGCAAATTCAAAGTGGTGTTTTCTTTTATTTTCATTTTTCATCGCGGATGTTTTTTGCGTTGAATTTTTCATCGGCGATTTACATTAAATTTAACTTTGCCACTAAAAATCTTCATTTATTGCGTTCCGACGTTTTCCTGTTTGTACTCCGATCTCCGACTGCCGTTCTGCCATCCTACTCAGTCTTCTGGCCTACGCTCAGTTCTCCATCCCGTCAAGAATCCTCTCCTCACCTTCCATCTCACTCAGTCACCCGTGGAGGAGGATCAGTCATTCGTTCTTGGACGGTGAATGGATTTGCCCGCCTTTGCCCAGTCGTGAGCATGAGAACTCATTTTATTTAGTTTTTTATTCCTGTTTTTCCAGTTCTTTCTTTTGTGTTGGGTTCCCAAAAGCCGTTTGCGGGGTGACGGAATATAGCAGTACAGTACGTAAAGTGACGGCTTGACTCGTACTTTCTATTATTCGCTGTACATTCTCGATCTTTCCTTTTGTGCTCGGATATACTTTTGGTTTGGTTTCTACACGGATGCGCCGTGTCTATATAAGTTCGTGAGTGGCAGTATTTTACATCATCAGTTCTCTCAGGACGAGTTTTGGCAGTTTCGGAGTTTCTAATTAAATTATCGTCGGAGATGCAGTTCTCGCTTCGCATAGATTCGTAGACTTAGCTATGCCACATTGAGATTATCAGCTCATACTCTGTCGTTGAGTAGGTCGGTAGGATAGATTATTACGGTAATTATTCCTATCGTACTGATCTCTCCGTCACTACCGTGAAATAAACCTGGCCGGCAATGCTTTACAGGAGACTGATTTGGACGTCTTCAAACCGTTGCGGCTGTGGGTGGTACGGTCATCATTCACGGCTTCCTGTAAACATTACGCAGGCGTTAACAATTTCTTGTCTTTTAGCAATGGTTGACGCTGAGTAAACAGAATCCACCATTGCGCAAAATATTTGTGAGTGGTTCACCGTATCAGCTTCTATCTCTACGGCGAATAAATTTGGATGAAAATCGTATCACCGCAATACCTGCAGAGGTCACCCAGTGTTTTCCACACCTGGAGTTCGTGGATCTTCGCAGCAACACACTGTGCGCCGTTGATGAATGTACTTGCTGTGGCATACAATCGTTCTTAAAATGGGTGGCAAGTGCATCGAGTACGCCTGTAACCGGCAACGCCACGACCTTTCACTTTCGATGCGGTGCAACGAATTACACCAACGATGCAGCCTTTCCGGTACGCAATCTGCAACCTACCATCAACAGCGCCATTTTAAAACTGCAGTCCACTTGTAAGCTAATGAGATTTTAAAACAGCACACACAGATTTATGGTTTTGGATATGCAGGTACGAAATGTAAGGGACCCGAGACGCTGGAAATTCGTTGCACGCGTGCTGTTTTGTGGGATGTCCGTTTGCGCAGCACGGACGCATTGGTCATCCGCTTCACAAGCGGCACCCACGTTCACTGTCCGACAACCCTTCATGAGCTGTACGAGCACGTCCTGGAAACAGTGAACGGACCGGGTTCTCAGCCACAGTACAAACTATCCCGAGCGGCTATGTTATATTGTCGCGATGACCAGCCGGTCGTGCTGGGACCGGATCCTGACTTGAGTGAACACACCAGCTGGCTGCGGCTGACGCTAGATATCGATTTAAGTCCATACTGCTACGATCTTCGCACCAGGCTGTTAGAATATATTGAAACAAATTTCGCCGGTGACGAAAGGTCAATAACGGTCACCCCGTCGCTGCCGGCTGGTGTTCCTGTTAAAACGTGGATGAGTGAGTATTTGACGTGCCCGGTGGACAATGTGGTGAGCGTCAACTGCACAGCCGGACAATTATTTCTCCCAAACGATCGTTTGAACGCCACCACGTCGATGGTGGTTAGTGTTCGCGGGGACACGACGTTCCGCTGCAGAGAGATCGTAATTAAACTGCACCGGTACCTGATCAGTGCAGAGGGATCTTCGGTTGCTTACGACGCGGATTACAGTGCATCTGAAGAGGCGATTGTTGCTGTTTGCCAACGAGGCCGAATCGTTCTTTCCGAGGCTAATCCCGTATTGTCGACAAAACTGCAGCTGACGTATTATTCGGCGCCTAACGATCCTTGCCGGAAGATATACCAGGCGTTTTTGAATTACGTGCAGGAGCAGGCTAATTGATTAGAGCAAACTGAAAGCAGTGACTGCACTGCGCTCCCAAATCCGGGACGCCGCAAAACAAATCGACTGGACACTACTCTAGATCATACAAGTGTGAAATGAGTTAACTGCACCACGAAAACGACATTAACATACGAATGTATCTGCGTGTGCAGAATCGTACGGTCCATCGTTTCGCATTAATAGGAGATAAAGTTGCGGGGAATAAACCAAAAGAAAAAGCAAAAGCAAACTGCAAAAGCAAACAGAAATAACACATAACACAACCATATAGTAATTAATAATAATAATTGATGACGTGCTCGTTAACTGGTGCCGCCTAGTAATTGTAGGAATTCAAGGAATAGAATATTTACGTTATGCAATCCGTTCTTGTTTTGGCGCCAACTGTAACACTTAGGAAAAGGGGCAGGAAACCGTTCGCGCCAGCATTTTCCCACGCAAAAGAATCTTGAGAAATTAACGTCGCCGTTGTACAGATTTGCGAGAAAACCGAGCGCTGAAAGATCACCAATGCATTGCCTAAACATACGTGATACTGCGGAGTGCGTAAACGTAGCTTGTACGCTTTTTGTACTCCGTACGCGGCGCGGGTGAGACGGCGCCTGCATCCGTGGTGTGTTTTGATTTTCGATGAGTCCATGTCGCCGATAATGAGATGATATGCCGCTACAGCCCACAGGAGCCACCGCCCACTTGCGACTGCAGCGTCTCACTGCGCTATCGCTGCCGGTACATACGGATCAGTGTATTTCATGCATACAATGGATTATAAACATTTCCGTCAGAATTGGAAAATTATACGGCGGATTCATCTGTCCGTTTCATAGAGCGCATGTGTAACCGCAAATTTGGCAATTTGTCATGCTGCAATGACTAAACTACCGATGCCGGCTGTCGCGACAAATTTGATCGACAGTTGATTGACAGGAGTATATAAAAATTAATTCCACAATACCATTATTCCCGCATAATTGTTCTTATTCGTATTTACAAAGCAGACCTGTTCTGAAATAACAATAAAATATCTTCGATGAAAATTAAGTACTGTATAAAACATTTGCATATCTACAAAATGAATTATATTAAGCCATAACTTCATGGACAATATGATCATTAATTTTATAATTTTATAGCGATTTTCATATTGTTGTTTTTTGGGAAATATAGAGTAAACGATAGGCGTTACGTTATGACACCAAGCGACGCTTTGTATTGTTTAATGAAGAAGGCTTTTGACACGCACACAGCGTCGACTGGCCGGCGACGAGTCGGCTTGCTGTATCGTCCCGGTTTGTACACGGCGGTGTGGCCGGCGTTAGTACGTGTGTGCAGCTTATTACACGCTGCGGAGATGCACTCACAGCCGAAAAGGCATAAGCGACGCCACGCGACCGATGGAGTCGATGAGACGCCGTCCCTATAAGAGCACACGCGCCAGCCCCGACATTTCAAAACGGCATCTTCCAAACCACTTTCCATCGAGTACAGTCCGCCTGATTAACAGTTTGAACCCAGTATATACCTTAACTGACCTTATCGTTAGTTTTTCCTTTTGCAAGTTATCTCCTGAATTTTGGGACATCTGCCGTTTGCACGCTTTGGTTTCGTTGGCATCCAGATTCCGGCAGCTTTAGCAGTGAGTGACTTTGCCGGATATATAAGAAAGACGCGGGTTTCTTTTGACGGCGTTGCCGAAGAAGAGCGAACCAGTGACCTTTGGAAAATGCTTACTCTTTGGTCCGGTGCCATTCTGTTTGTGATCCTTGGGAGTTTCGGTAAGCAAAAAGTTCCCTTTTCGTTATTTATAGTATATACTAACATAGTTAGAGTTTAAAACCACCATGAGGTTGCTCGTAAAGCTTCGGTCCGGTTTGTTATTTACGAGCGAATTTCTTCTATAGTGTTTGGTAATTACATATATTTATAATAGTTGCTCCGTATTTGCATAATTGCTTTATACTCAAACAGTTGACTGCTTTCTTTCGACGGAATTTTGTAGTGTTATTTAAATCTAGGCCGATAAAAGTTCCTAGTAGGCAAATAATACCACCGGACACGTGTAGCGTCGCGCAGCCGAAAGCGTGATAACATTCTCCATTTTGCACCACGCTACCAAACCAACAAGAAAAAAAGTGCAAAAATGCAGCTATAGGAATTCATTTTGGGAACAGCAAAAAGAAAAACGCAATGCTAAGCCATAGCTAAAAAATGTTTTCGGTATGATTTCGGTATGAGACAAGTATGCACGGTTCGCGCATCTATCATTATCTATTTATCTAAATTAGCGTAACAATGTGCACCCTTTCGTCAAAATTGCATGTTGGTGGATTACAAGTGACCAGCTTGATACCTTGCAAACACTTGATGACACTGTGTTTTACGCCTGTTTTTACCTTTTTGGTATATTATCGAAAATAACATTGGGTGACCTTTCTGATATTTCGGTCTTACTGGAACGGTGCACAGTGCACACTAATTATTAGCTGATGTAACTAATTCACAGAAAAAAATTAAAATATTGCTATTTATGATAATGCCACATGACTAAGCAGGCGAGCGAAGCGAGCTTGCGGTTTCCTTAATTACCGTTAGAAAAACAAATTATATCCTGGAATGCTTATGAGTAATCTATCCACAGTCCACGCACACATCCCTGGATGCAAACCGCATAAATGACACATACCCCAGGCACTTTGGGTTTTTCTTATCGATGAGCGCGTGACGTGTCCGGTGTTGGCATGTTTGGACGGTTGCGTGTTGTGGGCTCAATGCATCTGTTTAAGGCCACGACAAATTAACCACTTCCGTATTAAGTGATTTACGGTCTTGTGAATTTGTATAAAAATACACAAGCAAACCATGCCGGCGCCTAAAAATATGTGCCGTTATATGCTAAAATTAAACAAAGATGCAACCCAATCCCAACAGTTTCATCCTTACCGCGGCCCACGCAATCACATTCCGTCTATTTAACGCGGATTCGTCACCGTAGTGTCCGGTGTAGGCCGTGAATACTCACACAAAACAAGTTGGCGCCAATTTTTGACAGCTTTCCCCCGGGTGGCGTGCGGTGTCGAGCCGCCTACGTGGTGGCTTCACTGGCTTGGGCGGCAGCGTCGACAGAATATTTAAGTAGTTGCTCTTATTTTTCAATAACATAAATCAGTGCCTTGGCTAAAGGATGAAAAATAAACAACAAGACTTAACGCAATTACGATGTTTTTTTTAAAATTTGTTAGGGGCCTCATACATAATTTTTTTAATATTTTATCCAATAAATCCATTCGTTTCCAAATAAAATTATTTAGACCGAAACCCACATGTATAAAAATATATATATTTAAAATATTAAAGTTTAACATAATATATAATTAAAATGTCCAGCAACGCTTCATATGCAGATACTTACAGTACATTTTCCTTCATTTGTTATACACTGCTGTGTAAAATTATTAAGCACCAGCCGAGCGTTCATAATAAGGGAAAATTGTTAAGAGCGCTACTGACGATTATTTTTGTCTTGTCGAGGCCGGCGACGGGGACTGATCTGATTTCACGCACGCCCCCGTAAACGGCGCCAGCGATTAGACAAATTGCTTAAATATTTTGCGCATTACTATTATGAGTGTGCATATAGATGTACGTGTATGCACGGCCACGCTAGAGTGCAGCCGGGTTTTGATTTATATTGCAACATCTCGCCGGCTCCTGACTAGCGATTGCATCAGATGACAGGAGCCTAACACGTTTTTTGACGGAACTGTCAGCGCCGATTTGATGACATGTCCGGCCGTTGATTTATCACTGCCATGGACTTGACCGTATTTAGTAATTCCCGGCACAAATAAATCCTAAATAAATATTGAATTGTGCTTTTATTTTAACACTTTAGCATGGCTACTAAAATTATATTTAAGTCATCATTTATAAATACGAAATTTGAGTTATTCAGTGTGCTTGTATCTAAGTTTTGCTCTTAATTTTAGTGGGGGCGTTACCCTTGAACGATTCATGTGAATTCCATAGCGGCAAGAAGCTTATTTATCCGGTTGGAGCCACATGGGAAATACGCGTAGGCAGCTATAAGGATTTTCAGTGTTTGGACTGCTCGTGCTTACCGGTAAGTCGGATCATATCCAGTCAAAATATTATTGTTGTTTTCTTAAAAAAGCGCATTACTGTAGCATTCAACTGTCCGATGCGTACCATCACGAAAAACATGCCCGACACTGGACAACTGCTTGAAAATCGAGCAAGTGCCGGATTCGTGCTGCCCCAAGTGTACAGGTAAAGCAAATAGTTAACTGATTACGAAAACATGTATATGTATAAAGCAAATATTTAACTGATTACTAAAATATATGTATACGCGATATGTCGAACATAAAACATAAAGTACGGAAAATTGGTTCGATAAGTTTAATTTTTTTAAAATGTGACTACAGTCGGGTTCATGCAGGCAGTTGTTCCGATTTATTGCTGACAGTCTCATATCCAGTTTTTATTTCACCTAGGCTTTTTTTATAAAATTAATTTTTTCCTGAAATGGAAAGTTTTGGTATATTTTTGTAGTTAAATTACCAGACCTAAATTGGAGTGGCTGTATCATGGATTTATATGATTTGACTGTGCTAAGCTGTGAAACCGATATCGTGCAGAAACAGCAGTGTAAGAATTGCAAATGAGGAATATAAAAACAGGATTGAGGATAATTACGGCAACGGTCGGTGGGGACGGCGTAAAGGGCATAATAATGATGAGAGTCGCGCGACAGGTAGCGTTTACGATGCGGCGAGTCGGCAGACCGACGGAGAGCAGACCGTGGCAGCGAGTGCCGGGCCACTTGACGTCCGTCTCTCCGCCCCGTCTATTGCCGATAAGATACACGCCAATTAAGCAAACAATCGACACACGCAGACCCCGAGCAGCCAAATTGGATTACCTGCGTCGAGAAAACTGTTTTTGCGGCTCCGATGACAACCCGTTTTCCTTTGCTCTTTCGTGGGCAAGGGGAAAACGCTGCAGTTGATTAAGAAAGCGCAGCATCTGCCGACCGAAAGGCTAACAAAAAATTGCCGCCGAAATGCGTAGCATAATATTCGAACTGAAATAAATGTTTTTCACGTATGATACAATGTTTAATTTTTAAAGTCAAACTGATAGGTACATACATGATACATCACAAAGCCATTAAACTATCTAATTAAGTGTGATGGTGCATTTTGCATTTAGGACCGGATAAAAGTCAATTTCGAAATTTTGCCCTTTAAGGCAGTTGTAGCTACAGTTTTTATATTAGGCAATAACTGACTACTGTTTTCAATACTTCCGAAGTATTCTAGATGCCGGCTTGGCCAAGGAAATCATACACCATTGCCGAATTGTTAGAATCCATATCGGTTCCTGACTCTATGGGCTTTTGTTTTTTTAGAAGTGAGCAACGAGCCCGAGCCGGAGCCGGCGGCAGACGTAAATCGGCAGTCGAGCATCACGGAAAGGCGCAGTGTGGATGAATGCTATCATGCCGGTGCCGTCTACGACAACGGTCAACGCTGGTCACCACACTCGAACACCACCGCTATCCGCCCCATGGATGCCGATAATCAATGCATTCAGTGCTACTGTCAGGTAGGCCGGAAAATATCAATCAATAAGCTTTTCTACCTACCCGTACAGTTTATTACGAATTTAATTATATTTTTAGAAAAGATTATGTCGTGTATACATATCTGTGCTACGCTTGCGCAGAGACAGAATTCTATTTGCAACCCATATATGCACTTCGGGAATTATTACTTGCCAGTTTATATTATGCAGCCGTTGTTTTACGTTCTTATAGGATGGTCAAACGATGTGCTACCTGAAGACGTGCCCAGTACTTTCCTGTGATACTGTTTTCGCAGCCGATAACTGCTGTCCCGTTTGTGCAGGTAAAGGAACATAATTAATCGCCGAATGATACGGATCAGAAACTGTCACCACGGTAAACGGGATTTATCTCTTTTATACCGTGGTGTCACCGTACGTATTCTACGGCAAGCGAAAGCTTAGTTTTTTGCTTTCGGTTTTTGAAATTCGTCATATCTACACGTCGTAGTTTCATAAAAGACATCGAAAAAATTGTAGTTACAGTTATACTACGCAGTACGCAGCAAAAAATGACAGTCGGTTTATAGGTAGCTATACTCATACGTATAATGAACTGACGATGCAGAAATATTATATATTATGCAATTTTGCAATAAAAAATATGTGGATCATAGATGTATGTACAGTACGTACAATGTATTTATTGTAAATGTACGGGATGCCCCCATATACATGGACCGTCATATCAAATGTGCTACATTTTAGAATCCAACCAGTCCACGGAAGACGCCGAATCTACCGCAGAACCAGGAAACGATTATGAAAGATATGCCGAAGTTCCGGACGATGGAAATATAGGTAAAAATAGCACTTCTACAGTATCTCATCGAATACTTTATACAGATCGATACCGTAGGTGGAGACCACGAAAGAAATATTAGGCGTGGAAAATATACCCTGTTCTTTATGCTTTTATTCAGAATGCGTTTCCGGCAGCGAACGGTATGAAGATGGCAGTCAGTGGCATCCCGTTATTCCACCGTTTGGCCGCATGAAGTGCGTACTGTGTGAATGTGATAATGGGCAGATCAAATGCAAAAAGGTCACATGCCCGGACAAGCCCACCTGTGCCAATCCGATAACCAAGCCGGGATTCTGCTGCCCTATTTGTCCCAGTAGGTCGTTGTTTTCACAATTCTCTGATACAAATATTCAATAATTTAATTTCAGCGGAAACGAATGAAATCGCCAACGTGAGCGCCAGTGGTCCGTATGTGTGTTTGAAACATCGCGACTACTTAGTTTACGAGTATCTGCACGGTACCACCATGGAGATCGCCATGCGGTTACCGGAAGAAGAAATGATGTGGATCAGCACATGGAACGTCAACGCCTATCAGGATACGAACGTTTCCTCTATTGAATTGAAGATCTGGGAGTTCAGACGCAGCAAACCTTTGGAAAACTACAAATTTTTGGGAATTGCCAAATCCAGTACGTACATACGGTACATAAAATGTGTACGTACTCGTACATATTGTACGTACTCGTACATATGGCACATAAAAAGCAAAGTCAGAACTGAATACCGGAAACAAGAAGTATTGTTATACGTATGTGGTTATTATACGTGAAAGTCATATCGTGCATTATTTACAGAGAGGGCCAACCGCTTTTTCCGGCGTCTGAACAAGATCCGTCATACTTGCCGGCATCGTTGCAGTAAGCGTATGGAACGCTTAATTCAGATGCTACGGATTCAAGCCGTGTACACCGGAAGTAAATCCAACTGCCCGGACAGTCATCGGCCCGTCGATACGCGATTGTAAACGCAGGGCCTCGGTGACATTGAGCTTAACCGGCAACCGATCGAGGCGGCTACGTGACGTCAAAGCGGCCAGGCCACAGCTTCGACACAAGACACTGCGGCTGGGATTTAATTCGTGCACAACGGATCTCAATTTCAATCCGAACACGCATAAAGCGGGGACGATCGAGACGACTGTAATAAAAAATGCGGACACGTCTTCGTAACACAAACTCAGACTAGAAGAGTTTACAAACGTGTTTGATTGGAATTCTACAGTGTATAGTAATGAAGTGTATTTATTTAATGGAGAATGCATGAACTTACTTTGTCGAAAAGAAATTTAGCTTTTTGGAATTAATTTATTTGCTAGATTATATCATACAGATAAAAGCTGTATTAACAAAATACTGTACACATATAACTGGCAACAGAAGAGTGTAAACATTTTTGGCCAAAATAAACGCTTGGGAAATGGATCTACCTATTTATATGCCAAAGTAAATCATTTGTAACATCAGCATTTCAGCCATAGCAAATTTTCTCACCGCAGAAAATTGGGTACACTAACACTAACTACACTAATATATTGCGCTATTTATTTGTCAAAATCAGCTAAATACGGACATCCTTGTTCATCAGAAATAACGAACTTACATCTTTCAATTAGACACATGACAATTAAAAAAACTGTTTTATTAAACACGTGATGTAGTACATAAATCAGCATTCAGCACTACAATTAATCAGCGTTTGCGTTAGTACAGATAGTAAGCACAACTAACAGTAAGGACTGCTTTCCTTATCGTATCTTTTCCCAGCTGTATATCCTACTTAAGATTACAAGCACGACGTTTTTACAACTGGAGGAGGTAAAAAAACACAAATTCACAAATATACAGTCATCACAACGCAGCATGTTAAACCTTTATTACATATTTATTACATATCAGTGAAGCGGCTGTCGACGCATCCGTTCCCTATAACAGTGGCACCTACAACATTATGCGGGATCACGTTGTTTCCTTCCTCTGACTCCCTAATAGATCGACTGGTTCAGTTATGGAACGAAATTACTCTGGATAGGAAAGACTACGCCTCACTGAACGTGTTTAAGAATGCGCTGGATACAGTTTGTTGGAGCAAACTGGACTTTGTTAAACGTTTTTGCAAAACCTGATATAGTTAAATAATTTGGCATTTTTTCAGGATACTAGTTCTTTCTGAACCATTCCTAACCGATCATGGTAAACGGAAATTCAGCAACGCTTGTGGATGATCCCTAAGTTCACTGGCTGCGTGCTACTAGGAGTCGGTTTAACAGTTTTGTTTAAAAAAGCTACCGTTACATAGATATTGGCTTGTAGATTCCATAGTGCGATTACGTACGTAAGTGTCCATGCTTTCCATTTCTCCCACAAGAATATTAAAGTTTTCGAAAATTTGTTAAAACAATAATAACTGTAAATTCGCACACAGTTTTGTTAAAAGTGGGTTTTGGTTTTACGCATGGACACCAGTGCGCTCGCTTCCCTTCCGTTTTACTCAGTTCATTAAGCCAATATCTAATACCTCACATAACCAACAAGATGTGATCTTCCGTAATCTTCTGCTCACTTTATGTACTTCTTTTCATGATTTCTGTGCTTGCCCAGCCGTGTACTTACTTTTACGATTTCTGTTGTTTGTCTAGCCGTACTTAATGTGGATAGATTATACTGTACCAATGATTCTTCTTTACCAAATACACCATCTTGCGTGTGACCTTTGTTGTTTATTATGTTTTTGGAATGTCAAATGCCTTGAGGGGACAGTGTCCCGTTGCACAAGACAATAAATTAAATTAGAGTTATATTATATCCATTAAATGTACTTTTTGAACGTGCATACCTATAAATTTAAGAAAACACATTAGGTTACCAAATAAAAATCTCCGCTATGACTTCCGCAGACGCCGACGAATGTACTCCTACTTTAGCAAAAGCAAATTTGCAAAAGTTTTTGAATATTTTTAATACATACAGATAATAAACTGTATACTGCTCTCTGATGGTGAGATCCAAAATGGCGAAGAGAAACCGCACCACCGGTGCTTCGTTTTTGTTGCCCAGTGCCAGCACCACCTCCGGTGATGTTTTATAGTCCATGTCTCTGTCATAAATCTTCCTACACGTTGCTTTCGTCAAACTGGCTTTGGGATAGTGGGCGAATTTATCCCGGGGTAAAAGGGTGTTGCCACTCCGGTCCAGAGACATAGTCGTTGTACGTACGTCTCCAGACAGGCTTCTAATGTGAACCGGCATTTCTTAGCATTCTGGTTTCACGATGCCAGATTCTCGAACCTGCAAAAGCGGCAACGTTTTTGCGTCAAACCCGTAATTTCATCTCAGCATACAACTATATGTAGATATTACGAGTAGTATTTTTATCACATAAGAAATGCTAGTATGAGAACCTAAACGATGCCACATCGTATTCGCCGAAACAAACTTGACAAAACTAAAAACTTTCGGCAATGAGCAAAAAAGATATGTTTATTTCCACAGAGAGAACAAAAATATGAAGAGTGTAAGTACTATCTATCTATCGGTATAATATGCTTCCGTAGTTTTATACGGAACATGTCTTGTCTTACGGAAGTATTAATCAGAAAAACTGGTACTGTAGACAATATCCACACAAAAACTGCTGGTATGTCTCTTCGTTGCCGAACCGGTCCGTTCAGATGTCTTAAATGATGTTGTTGCCTGATTATTGAACTGATTGCTGCTTACGACACATATGTACTTATCAATAATTTTGGCAGGTTTGAGTGCTAAATAAAAGTAATAAAAGTGCCTTAGACAAGACTTCCTGACCTTTCTTCCGACCGTTTTATTTTTCTTTGGTCTTGTTTAAGCCAGTGTGGTACAAACCGTCACTTAATTATTCCAGAAGAGTTTTTTCATTCGGTTCTCAAAATTCATTTCCTACCGGTACCTTATATATTACGGCGCTGACCTTTACAAAATGGCAACGTACAGCTATCAGTAGAAATCAATCTGATTTCAGATCGAGTCGGAATGTGCATTTTGCATTATACACAAGCAGGCTTCTACGGACTTTGTCACAGCCGGTCGATACGTATCGACCGGCTGTGACAAGGTCACTTCGTATACATTGTGGCAGCGCCACAATGCGCATTTACATGTAAGTTGTTTACTGTAAACAGATCATATCTACAGAATACATACATGCTGTGTTGATCCCCGAATTTCGGAGTGCATGCCAGAGAAACTCTGGGACGATAGAACAACAGATCTTATTCTATGATATATTTCTAGGAACTCAGTCGACGCAGCTTTACAAAATCTAGACAATCCTGCATTTACAAACACAAAGTTAAACATAACCGCAGTCGACCCTGGTAGCACTGCTTATTACTTCATCGGGTACTGTTTTCAAAGGTCCTTTTACCAAGCCACGTATACGAATGGCGGATGGTTTCCGCAGGTGGACTAAGTGTCTTTGAGAAGCAGGCATGCAGTTTATGAAGCATTTATTTGTGCTGTACAGTATATCCGGTAGTATTGCACTTGCTTATCTGCAGATGCACACTAAATGAAGTATCGAAGACGGTCCCTCGTAAGAAACTGCCAAAGCGGGAGATTTTGTATATTTATTGGGTAAAATATGACATATTCTATGCAGCTGCTGCTGGGCATACGTACGAGTATGTATCTGTATACGTTGTCCAATCCTCTGTGTACTGCGCAATGCGTATATGTATTGTACAGATTTTTATTAAAACGAAAGTACTTTGTACTACTTGTACATACGAGTATTATGCCCGCTTTTTTTTCCTTAATAATGAGAAAAGTTTATTACAAAAACAAAATTTCATTTACTGCTGCCGCTGCGTTCAAACTTCCAAATACGCTTGCTATGTGCTATGCGAGTACTTGTATAGCAGTGCGTAAAACAATATCCACCAAAGTTACCAAAACATGGCGCGATGGCACTAATTCTGCGTTAAACTTTATAATTCAGACTTCGAGAAACCTCTTTCGTCTATACAATAGTCAGGAAATTCGGGTTCTCGGAGAAGCGTCTACGCTGTACAGAGAAACGACAACGGAAACAACATCTCCTCGAGAAATAACCTTTATTTCGATAGAAATCAAAGGGCAATCACAAAATCTAGCAAGAAAAAGGGCATGAAATCAGAATGCTAGGAATCGATGTTGACGGTTCCGTAGCTGGCACTCGAATGGCAAAACATGCTTTAGCATGTGCGCAGAATGGCGAATGGTGAGCCGATCCAGTGATGGTGAGGCGAACACGCCAATATCCTGTGCACTACGCACAACACTCTGACAGGGTTTAATATATCTGATATCGAGTTAATAAAGAAACCAAGGGTTAGTGTCGAACAAAAAAGCGAAATCCTTCTCCCTTCTGCTGCGCCGAGTGCGTTGAATGTTAGCATAATTACAACACTTCAAAATGTCCAAGAGGACATTTTTCTTCGGCATCAATTAAATGGAGGATGAATCGGGTCAGCGGTAGATCTTCAAAACGCCGCAAGTCCAAATTATTCCAAAACTCATCGTTATCTACGGACTGGTTGAATGTGTGCCTGAAAAGAACTTCAGATTAATACTTTATAGATCAGTTTGCATCGCATACCGCACAGCATCTGGGAATTTTAAACAATCTTTCGTAACTTTTAGCGGTGATTAGGGGAGATGCACGGTATAAAAGAAGTCGTATCATTGGCTGGCTGGCGGGCTAAATTTAGCTCCGTCGAGCCAGCATAAATCTGTTGATTTACTCTCGTAAACATGGAATTTTGTTTAAGTTTGTTTGTACCAAAATGTAGGTAGAGTTTTTCTGCATCTTTAGAGAGGCTGGTTGTTGTAATCGAGTAAGTTTTCGCGCTATGGGGAATAAAAAACAGTGTAGGCTTTCGACCGTTGTTTTTCATCACTTAAACGTCCAGGGACTATCATATGCTAAACTCGATCTACTCCATCAGTTGTTACTCAATCAGGATAATCAGTCGAAAATTTTATGCATTTCGGAATCTCATCTGTCTGATAACGATCCTGAGCAGCTCTACACTCTTCCTAACTACCAACTGTTTCGCAAGGACCGCACGAAAGCATCGGGTAAAACACGGGGAGGTGGCCTATTACTTTATTGTCCTGCTCATATCCCATGTCAAGAAGTTCGCAGATCTGAAACGTGCGGGCGTTGTGAAAGCTTGTGGGTCCTACTCCAGATTGGACAGCGAAAGGTACTAGTAGGACTTTTGTACAGAGCTCCTGATGCTTCAGCCATTGATACTGAATTTCTTTTTAATCATGTGGACGAAATGTTGCTCAAGTATTCTGGTATTGATCATGTGGTTTGTGGCGATATTAACATTGATGTCTCAGTGCCGTCTTCGCCCTATTTTCGATATTATCGCGATTTACTGAATAATCATGCGTTAGTTGATACGGTAACGGGATTTACCAGGATAGCTTGTCGAACTCGGAAAAAAGATGGCAAATTAATGCACAGTGCTAGGAAGATTGATGTTATGCTATGTTCACCAGCAGAAAGCTATTCCTCCCTGCTAGCGGAAGATGTTTGTTACTCTGATCACAGACTATGCAGAACAGTGGCGTCCTACAAGTCTGTCAACCCTATCCATAAAACGATTACGTTCCGGTTGTGGAAGCATACACCAGAAGAAGTGTTTCAACAGCGGGTTGCTGCAGTGTCCGAGAAGTTTAGTGTGTATGACGAGTCTGTTCCCATCGATGATTTCATGGCAAATTATGTCAGCGAACTGAACCAGATTGTAGATGAGTGCTATCCTTTAAGATCCCGAAGGGTTCGCCAGGACGATCCACCCTGGATGAACATGTCGTTGAAAAACTTAATAAAAGAGAAAAATCAAGCCTACCGCCTCCGATGCCAGTTCCGTGGGCAACCAGAATATGCGCAGTATAACGATCGTTTTCATGCTTTGAAGAGTCAAGTCCGCTTCGCCATCGTCGATGAGAAACGCAAATTCTTCCAACGCAACCGGGACGCAGGAGAAGTGATTTGGCGCGAGCTTGGCAAATTACTGCGTAAGAGAAAGCAGACAAAAGAGCCAACAATGGAACCGGATGTGCTGAACGCTCACTTTGCAGCACAAGGGCTGCATGGGAATGAACACACTTCACCAGCCGTCCCTTCGGGCGGTGACAGTATTAACCCTTTGCTTTGCAGGTTTGAAGAAATTACCGAGGATGTTGTTTCCTTTCAGTTGCAGAAGATGGCCAAACGGAAAAAGAGCGCTGGACCGTGCGGCGTGCCTGCAAAAATCCTCGGTGGAATCAGCATGTGCTTGACGAAACCGTTGACATGCATGATCAATGCCTCGTTGAAGTCCGGAGTATATCCGGCCATATTCAAAAATGCAGATGTTGTCGCTATACCGAAGCAAGCCAATGCCCGACAGCCGGATGACTACCGCCCTATTTCCCTTGCTTGCAACCTATCCAAAGTATTTGAGAAAGTAGTGCAGAACCAGCTAGTGACAGTTCTGAAAAGAAACAACATCCTATCCGACAAGCAGTCTGGATTTAGGAAAGGCCATTCCTGCGAAACACTGCTACTTAAAGTTTCAGAAAGATTGCGAAAAGCGATGGATAAGGGGCAAGTTACTGCTGTATGTCTTTTGGACTTGAAAAAAGCGTTTGACTCAGTTTCCCATGCCAAACTTATCGAAAAACTAAGAATGATCGGAATTGAAGGTAACGTGCTGAAGTGGTTCCATGGTTACTTAACCAGTCGTAAGCAGAGAGTGAAAATGACCGCGCGTGTTTCTGACTGGCTACCAGTGCGGTCGGGGGTGCCACAGGGGACAATGATGGCGCCGGTACTGTACACGGTTTATACAAACGATATGACGAACGGAAGCGACGCAGAATGTTTTGCGGATGACACCGTACTGTTTGGATGCGGTGCCACCAAAACAGAAGCAGCAGCGAAGCTGGCCGTGCAGGTTAACAACGTAACGGCGTGGCTTGCAGACAACACCTTGTGCATGAACGAGAAGAAGTGCAAGTTAATGTACATCTGCTCGGAAGCAAAGAACAGCCAGCCCTCTCCTGCTGTAATGATTAACGGTCACCAGATGGATGTAGAACAGTCGGTAAAGTATCTGGGAGTTTACTTTGACCGCAACCTGAAATGGGGAGTGCATTATGACCACGTACTGCGGAAAGTCAACTACGGCATCGCTATGATCAACCGCGCGAAAGACGGCCTGGATCTGCCTCAGCGTAGGAGCCTTTACCATGCCTGTGTACAGCCACATCTCGACTACGGGTCAGGTACGTGGTCACCGGCATCTTCGGCTTTACGCGGCAAGTTAGACAGGGCACAGCGGAAAGCACTGCGGGCGATTTCTGATTACAAGGAGCGGGTTACACCCGAGCTGTATCAGAAACTGCGCATCCCGCCGGTGTACGACCGTTGGAAGCAGTCGGAAGCGGTTTGGTTGTATAAGATCTACAACCACGAAGCATACCGTCCTCCAAAGTATATGGTGGAAATGATCGACTTCACAGATTTGGGAGCGCATTACAACCTGCGGAACCCGACGAGAATTGCTGCCCGTGCGAAGAAGAAAATTGGAGAAGGCACGCTGGCTATGCGACTAAAGAACATTTTTGAGCGCATACGGAAACATAACATGCAGATACTCAGTGTTGATGGTGTGGGATTTTTCAAATTTGCTCTCCGAACTGTTGATCTGTCTTAGCAATTGCCTTTTTGTTTAGCTTTTTACCGACCAGACGTTGAAGTCCCGTTTAGCGGGTTGTCTGCTCCTGATGTAATAATAATAATAATAATAATTGATAAGGAAACCATAACAAAAGTTTCAACTACCGTATGATGATAATGTTACAGCTTTCGGAATGGTTTTATTTTTGATTTTTCCCACCTTCGTAGCATATTTCCAAAAGCCCGCCATCCGTCATGTTCAGGATAAGGCAAGGTCTCCACCATATGCTCATGTTGGTTCTTTACTTGCATCTTGATGTCATCGGCTGGAGGTAGACAGTTTTCCAAGTACGCCATGTAGCGCCGCAAAATGTCATTTTTCTCGGCTGAACAGTCGAAAGACATTTTAGGAATAGTGACACTGATGTGCTTATTGGCTCGTTGAGACATCGTCATCGTGTCATTTACATAGATAAAGCAATGCGACACGCAGTTCTCGATGACGCAGTTCGCCACTAATAATGCCGGCAAACCGGCATCAGCCTTGGCAGATGCTGCAAAGTATGGCCGATGGCGGCCGCAGTGGGGGCCAGTTCAAAGGGCATAGTGAAGTCCTTGATCAAAATGTACGATAGTTTTATATTTTTCGCCATGAGGAGAGAGGTAGCCGCATACATGTCGATGCATTCGTGATCGCGGTAACCCAGACCAGTTAACACAAGGGCCTTCGTGCGTCGGCTGATGCTCCGGTCGAGTAAACACCCAAAATAATACCCTTCTGTCTCCCGAAGTCCCGGTTGTTCTTGGTCAGCTTGCAAATCAATGTTAACGAGGATATCTGAAGACAGTATCGAGTTTCCCGTGGTGCTCAGTATCTGATCCCATAGACTGCATACTCTGAAACATATTGATAAAACTGTTCTCTGTAACGGTCGGCTGGTGAGCATTCATGTGTCTCTTAAACATGATACGGTATTTACGGTAATGATTATGATATAATATAAGAGCACCGTTTTAGGTTTTAGGTTTACGCATATTTATCTGTGATGCTTTAATTCTCTTTTGTTATTTTTACCGTCTTGCTTTTGCTTGAGAATGAATATCCAGTTGCAACAGGACTTCGGCCAAAATCCCGTGTAGGAAGCTCCCAGTGACGAACTGTCCGTTTTCTGAAATATAGCAAATTTTAGACATACTATCCTGGACAATGGTACCGTTCCTGTTATGTAAAAGGCTTGGATGGTGCGAGCTGGTTGCGGTTCAGTGCAATCCACTGAACATTGGACAGTGGTGAAGTTCAGTGGACACTGACAGTGGAACGTTCAATAGTAAGTGGGTGTAGTCACTAAATGTACTTCTACTCATATAATATCCTTTACAAATGGCCCTATAACTTAACATTATGGCTGCATGCGTGCACTGGTCGTAAAAACGGGGGTCGGCTGCATGCACGGGTGACCTTTTCGGGTCAGCACGGGTAGAAGCCGCGTGCACGGAGTTTGGGAACGGGTTGGCTGTGTGCACGGCTAATTTGTTTGTTTTAAGGATTTTTTGGATAATTGCTTTAATCACGACTATAAAATCATGCCTCTTCTTTTACCAGCAACAGAGTTACTGGGAATTTTTGTGCAATGTCTAGTGCGAAGTTAATAACGCTTGTAATAGTACTGAGGTACAGTACTAGCACATACTTGAAAACCACTATAAGTACACTGGAATCGAAGAAGTAAGCATTTCTGTAGTATTTTGTTCTGTACCATCCGCGATATGGAAAAGCGAAACCTCGTCAAACAGTACTGACTAGCAAAAATTATCTGTAACGACATATTCCCAGATTTTTGCACCCTAAAAAGTTTGTAAAAAACCTGTAAAAAAGCTGTTGTACAGATATGTTGTTCAATAAACCATAAAGAGTGATAAAATGGTGTTACAAATGAAAGTTCGAAAAGCGTATAAATACGTAAATAAAATCTATTTTGAAAGCCGTACACGCATACAACACCTGTGCAAGCGTCCCGTGCATACTGCAGCCAAGGTGTATAAGGGAATCAATTAAAGGGATAAACCTACATACTGCTGCAGCCAATACCCGTAAGGATTCCCGTGCACGCAGCCAATGCCTGATGCAGTTAACATCGAGCATAACTTAAAGGGGCCAGATCCTTCAACTTTTAACTCAGCCTCCGCACCATCATTGGACGAGTGATTTTCATATTATTGATACATTGTTTTAGCCGAATATCTGATGGTGAGTTACGTAATATTTTGTAGTTTGTGTAATCAGCTTTACGTCTAAACAATCAAGAGTGACCTGCTACAGCTGTCGACACAGAAAAGTATTAACAAATGACTAATGCACTGCAACCCTTCCATTAAGAAATGACTAATGCGTTTCTAAATGCGGCTCGCTGACCTTTAAATTACCTCGCAATAGTTGTGGCAGCTGTGTTAATTACAAATTTCTGTCAGGACGGTAGCATAATTTCCGTTGCTGCCAACCGTTATTAAAATTTACAGCCTACTGTAGATTGTGATTTTTAGCGGGGACTTCGCAAGATACTAGGAGCATGGCAAACCGTACGCTTTGTAGTGTACGAGTATAAGTAGTGTTATGTCTTTCTACAGTATGATTACCTCGACTTTCGCAACAACTTCGAATCCGCTTGACTGTACATTTTTAATAACGGATCACCCACGTATTCAAATATTGATAAAATTTCGGAATTTACTGTTTTACGTAGTCACCACTTCCGTCTTACCTCGATACATAAATTTGCAAATCACACCATCTCGTGATAACGTGCTGGTCGCACCTTCAAGCCTTCAACGACGTGCCTTTGTGGACTGGCTTACAGTTTTTAACCCGAAGGTTTTCTCTTCACGTTTTTGTGATTTGCAAATTTTTTGTTATGTCAGGTAAAGATAATGGTGAGTTGGTGACTACGCAAATTAATTTTGAAATTTTTGTGCAGTTAGGATATTTTAATACGTGTGTGACCTTTCATTCAAAATGTACAAGTTCTCTACAGTCAAACCGATCCGTTGTTAAGAAAAGTCGAACGGATGTATACAAATATTTTGATTCATCGTTGTGTCGAAGAAAGCTTTTTCACAGTTTCAAAAATACATTTTATTGATTCGGCCAAATACACATTGATAAGGGCAATGGAGACCTGCTCACGTACGTAATCACATTAGTTCGAGTACATCTACAGATACGTAAGCCATAAAAATGCTGTTTATATAGGTGTCGCTAAGTGTGCTGTATGTACATTCTGCTTGAACAATTACGCCTTCTTTTCGAACTCAGTAATTAAAAGCGTTTGTAACGTACTCGGACATGTTTGGCAGTCCAGTTCCGGATTGCTGGGAGAGTGTTCACAGACAGGTTTGTACGGGCAAGTGAGATTGTCACAACTGGCCGGCATATTTCGGCAATGGCATGGCAGGTGCTGCGATTGGTGTAATGTACGAAAATCGTAGTGCGCCCCATTGGAGTATGATTTATACTCGAATCTGCTACCGATTACAAAATCATTCAAAAGGGCCACACGCTCATCACCGAAATGGCGGAAGCATTCAAGCAATTCTTCAGCAACTCGCGACATCTTCGCCGGGAAATCTGCTGTTAGAACAAACCGGGGGACGTCGCCTGGCGTCATCTCGCGCCTGATTCCCAGAAACAGCCTGCAGGTCATCGTATTCCCCACAATTCTCAAGAAACAGCGATCCCGTCTGTTGTAGATGCTGTAACCAGCTCCAAAAAATAGTAAATCGGTAAACTGTATGATATCGTGTTCAGTCAGTGGCTGGAGCACGCTCGCATTCTTCGCTTCCAAGGTAAATTTGATCACAGGTAGTTCAGTCAGCTGGTGAAACAACGGTGGTTGCTCGGGAGGAAGGTCTTGAACGATTTGCCACAGATGGACAACATGCTGTTGACTCATACTGTCGGCATCTGTTGCATCCAGAGATACGTAGCATAACGCTTTGCTTTCAACGCAACAATCACTTAGCAGTTTGCCCGGACGAAAAATGTATGGCCCATTATCATTCCCGCGCACAGCGACGTGAACTGACAAAGAAATTTTATCGGGTCCAGCAGGAGCGCTTGATCCCCTGATCGGAAAACGATGATGCTGCCATACATAGCGTGAATCGATCCAGAATGGGGGAATTTTTGGGCTGTCCAGATTGAGAAATACCATTTCGCCATCGATATCTTCGATATATGCCAAACACCATGCATAATCATCGCGTTTCACCAGAACGGTGTTTCCCATATTGATCTGATCTCGGAAGCGTTTCCGCCGAAAGAACGCCATTTATCTGAGAATTAATGTGCTATCTGGCGCTCAGATGAACTCCAAGAAACAAATTAATAATTGTAAGGAATTTATTGTCTCCCTGCTATCAAGTCAGGGCGATGAAACTGGCACACGTACTGGAGCTAAAAATCTTTTGCTAGACTGATTTCAGATTGAGGTTTGCGACATATCGAGTAACTTTGCACTGTTTGCAGTCGGTCTGCACTGTTTAATTCTCTTTCTCTCAGGGTTCCGTGATGTGGAAAAACTTTTCCCTGCATTGTTTTCATCGGGGCTGATGTTTGATTAGCTTCGCCCAGCAGCAGGATAGACGAAAACTGCCTTCCCAACTGCTTTATATTCTTGTACACCCTTGTGGCTTGTACCATAATGCATATAAACAGCATGCACTACGCTTGTACGTGTCATATATTTTCAAAGGCACCAGGGCCGCCTGACAAATTCCTCTAGTTTAATTTGTTCGTATAGAAGGTAGATAAGGCACTAGAACAAGAAAGGCATAAACAGAATGGCAGTAAAAGCCGGACTGAAATTAATCTAATTGTCCTGGGTGAACAGTTTAACCAACACTGTACCTAGAGTACAGTCTTGGCACAACTTATGCTAGGTCCATACTTCAGTTGTAAGAAAAAGTTGTACAACAAATCGTAGTCTTAAAATGGGAACTACGATTACAACATTCGTAGTTGCAGTTACCAGGATGTTGTAGCAATGTTGTGCAATTTTTACTTTCTGCAACACTTTCCGACCATACTTCAACCACAACTAAAATTTAAGCCAACCCAGCACAGACGCGATTGGGGGAGATTGTCCCGCTTATTTTTATTAACAAGCGGAAGCAACCCTTTTATTAAGTTTATAATACCACTGACCAAACGAAAATATACAGAAATACAATATATCAATCATGGTCGCTATCATACCAAAAAAACCATTATAATATAAATGCAGACTTTTGTAGTTACTACAGTGAATCGAGTTTCTAAAAATGTATCGGCATAGTTATAATAATACAGAGTGAGAAACATAGTTTTGATGTTACTAAAGAGGGCAGAGGTCTGTAAAAAAATGGCGCATAACCTGCAGACTACAGAGTATTAACCGCTTTTAACTGGAAGCCGTTTTACGGCCCAGCGCCCTTCAGTTATTTTACCATTTTCCTGCTCGGCATCAACGAACCCGGCTGCAACATACCGGCGCGATCTCGCCTAGGTACTGTCGCGCATAAAATTTCTTTAGGTATGTATTCCTTCAGGATATGGCAATCAGTTCATAGGTTACGTCATATTGATATCAGGTAATGAGTATGCTTCAAGTAATGATTATGTATCAAGTAATGTATCAAGTAATGATTATGTATCAAGTAATGAGTATGTATGTAATGAGTGTGTTTTATTAATTTAAAGAGTATCATTGCAAGTAGAGTTATAAACACATATAATAATAATTATGGTAATTCTGAGAAAATTAGCCATTGGCCAGTTTTCTACAATGTTGCAGAAAGGAAGAGAAGCCCCTCCCTCCTGAAACATCGATTTACAACAAATTTTTTGTTGTACAACATTTTTCTTACAACACGCAGCGTCCATACTTTCGAGAATTACAAAAAAAAATGCTACAACAAACTCGACTCTCGTGCATACTTTTTCTACGATTGTTGTAAGATTTCTATTGTATTCCGAATTACAACTGAAGTATGGACCTAGCATTATCCTCGTGGGGGCAATCGTTTCCTTCTTCTATACTACGAGAAATTCAAGGTTATACCATGGTACAAAATAATAATAATTATTTTGCACCGTCACTAAAGTGGTCATACTATATGTATTACGTTTGTCGCTATTATACACTGAAAGGTCAACAATGTTTTCAGAAGGGCTGAGCCGCTTTTTCCGTCACAATTTCCGGTGTCACTGCAAGTAACACATAGAACGTTTAAATCAGATCTGCGGATTACAAAGCCGTGTACACCGGAAGTAAGTCAAACTGCCCAGACAGCCATCGGCCCGTCGATACATGATACATATACGCGAGGTCCCCGGTGACACTGAGCTTAACCGGCAACTGTTGGAGACGTCACTGAGATTAGCCCAGTTGCGACACAATACATTAAAAGACGTGACTGAGGTCAGCCCAGTCGCGACAACAATACACTGCTGCTGAGAATTAATTCGTGCACAATGGATTTCCTTTACTGACGTCACAATTCGAGTCTTATTGTTAGATCGAGGACGATCGTTCTAATGGACCGATTACGATTCACGACAGATCTTGCGATGCGAACACAGATTAAAAGAGTTTACACCAATAATGTACTAGAAATGATTTGAATTGATTGCTACAGTTCGAAGTAAATGAATGGTAACCATTTTTCGGTTACAGGCAGTATGAGGCATATTGTAATCTGTAGGTTTTATTGGCGCAATTTTTCTCTCACACTCCCGTGTGAAAGAAGACCCGGCAAAAGAACTAGAAATAGAAACCTCTATGAAAAAAGCAAAGACCGCTACTCTTCCGTTTGTGTCTGGTTTTCCTGCCTGTTTTCATACGAAGATGCTTTTCGCCTATACTCTGTTCCACAAAAACATGCCCTTAATCGTAATCGGATCTAAGTCTTCGTTTGGGATGTCTGGTTTATATTCTCAATATCACGAAATGGATACTACGATCGACGACAATGTCTATTCGTCGACGACAATTTGAAGTTGACTATACAGAACAAGGTCATCACATTCTTCTGCCTGCTGTCCAGCTGAGTCGAAAAAGGAAGACTCGTGCTAGTGAATTTGGTGTAACGCCATTAACGGCGCAGTGCGCACCTTCGTTCCGCATACAGTTTGTACAGTATACCGTAGTACATTTTTATTTTCATTTTGACTGGGATTTAAAACACTCGTAAAGTAACTACAGAGTGAGTGTACTACTGTGAGTGGTGAGTAAAACAGTAGTGAGTAAAACAGAGTAGTGAGTAAATAACTACGTAATATCAATAGCAGTCAAATAACATCGATTTCTGCGGTGACCCGGAGTATTACGATTTTACAACATACGTACCTGCATAAACGCTTTGTACAGTCATGCATGAGGCGAAACCTCGAGTGGCTGACTGGAGAAGTAGAGGGAAGGTGTATGTATATATACATTTTATTCTATGCATAATGTCAAATTGAATTCCAAGGGCAACTGCTGATAGCGAATGCTTTAATTATTGTGCATTATAAAATTCAGTCAGTCCGCGAATGACTCCGAATCCACCGGCGAGTGAGAAAACAGTCACATTGACCAGACTATATATTGAGTGCTGTGCCTCAGGGTTTGTCTGCTCGGAAATAAACTAAACTATAAACTAAACTAAAGCGCCGAAAGAGGTTAGATTGTGTGAATGATAGACAAAACAAAGCAAGCATAAGAACATAAAAAGGAGAGGTAGAGCACGCATACATAATCGCCATGCGGTTGCCGGTAGGCGAAAGAACAAATGATCTGGCTGCATTAGTACATGGAGACTGATGGAGTTACCATCACATATATATACATACGAATGTTGAATCTTTCACAGAATCGAAAATCTGGGACCAAATGCCGCTGACCTATGGAAAATTACAAATTTCTGGGAACTTCTAAACCGAGCGAGTACTTACGTTTATGGCCCATATGCATAAGTATAGCAGAGTAAGTATTAACAACTGGAAAACCAAAATATAGCAAGGTATTATACGCGTTTAGCCAGACTACTGTTAAGTGAAAAGTTACCATTGTGTGTAACTGGTATTATTTACAAAAAGGGTCAGCCTTTTTTTACCGGCATTGCTGCTATTAAGGATTAAAGCCGTGTACACCGGAATTACTGTAAATTATAAATCCAACTGCCCGGACAGCGTAACCGCAGTTAAAGCACTCAAGTACAGCTGTTTCCTCCTGTGGGTGTTGAGACTTTGAGGCCTTTCGGACCGGAAGACTCTGTTGATCAGCAAACTGGCAGGAAAATAAACCAGCAAGCAGATGGGCATTAGCAATGAAATATCTGCACCGCCGCCAACGGATCGGTATCCAAATTCAACGTGAAAACGTGGCATCCATCTTGGGAACGAAATCAGCTTCGAGTAACTTGTACCAACTACCAAGTGTTCCCTGTTGTGCGGCCGTCAGTTTCCGTTTTTTGCTAAACGGTATATGATATTTGCTTTTTGAATTTTCTACAGAGTATGTGCGATTTTAAGCAACATTTTTGACAATAGAGCCGCCCTGAAACACACACTAATTAACGATTGTCGGTAGAATAGTACTCCAGAGTACAGTGCAGTCACTGCAGCAGATAAATGGTACAGAGAAAATCTAAAGTGCTGAAAAATAATATCCCCGTCACCCGTTGTGCAGCAGTTGATAAAATTGTTAACCGTTATATTTTAATACCACCTACATTTGCTTATTTAGCAAATTAGCACAGAAACACGAAGGCTATCTGTTATCAAGGAAGGAACATTCGAACATACTGGAGCCGAAAGTAAAGATATTTTAATTTGACGCGCGAAAGCCGACGCACGAGGGTGTTCTCGTAATTATCCAAGTAAACGGTGATCCCTTATTTCGCGTCTTGTTTTGTATGGATACGAAGTACTTTAAAGATATTTAGAACGTAAATGGAAATATTTATGTTTTTGTCTAGTATGAATGGAAATGCTTTCTACGCAACTGTAGTGCATATGCTGGATACTCCTTCGCTAATATTGTGTCGAATTGGCTGACCGAGGCTGCGTCACTTCCTGTGCTGCGATGCTATTTCAGCCAGACTTAGTGTGATTGTCAGAAATGTGAACTATAATAACTATAAGAATTATGACAACTACGCACTTGTATGATAACTTCCTGCATGGTGGCATATGCATGGTGGCTGGTGGATATTTTAATATCCACCAGGCCAGCCAGTATTTTACTGTTATTTCCTGACATGGCTAGCTATTCTAATTAAAAATATTTTTAAGTGATTAATTTTCGTGTTTCGCGTAGTTTAAGTGCCTATAAGCACAAGATAACTCACATTAGTTGAAATGGGAAGACCAAAACAGTGTAGACTTTCGACCGTTGCATTTCATCACTTGAATATCCAGGGCTTATCGTATGCCAAAGTCGATCTTATTCAACAGTTATTGAGTAATGAAGATAACTGTTCGAAAATATTATGTTTATCCGAATCACACCTGTCTATGCATGATCCTGATCAGCTCTATGCGCTTCCTGGATACCAGCTCCTTCGCAAGGACCGTAGTAAAGCATCAGGAAAATCTAAGGGTGGTGGCCTGTTATTATACGTTCCTTCTCATATACCGTGCTCAGAAGTTCGCAGATCGGATACATGTGGCAGATGTGAAAGTTTATGGGCAGTTTTGCAAGTCGGACAGCGGAAAGTTCTTGTAGGGCTTCTCTACAGAGCTCCTGATGCCAGCGCCTTTGACACGGAGTTCTTGTTCAGTCACGTTGATGAGATGCTTGTAAAATATCCTGGCCATGATCAGGTGGTATGTGGGGACATAAATGTGGATGTTTCTGTGCCTTCTTCCCCCTATTACCGTCACTACCGCGATTTAATGAACCACCATGCGTTGTCGGACAAGGTGAGTGGATTCACGAGAGTGGCATGTCGAATCCGAAGAAAGGACGGCGCAGTGTTGAATAGTGCGAAGAAGATCGATATCATGTTGTGTTCACCAGCGGAGAGTTACACCTCAGCGCCACCGGAAGACGTAAGTTTTTCAGACCATCGTTTGTGCAGAACAGTCGCGTCGTACAAATCTGCAATTCCCATTCACAAAACCATTACGTTTCGCCTATGGAAGCATACAACCATAGAAGAATTCCACCGAAGAATCAGAGAAGTTTCCGAAAACTACAGTGATTACGACAAATCTGTCCCAGTTGACGATTTTGTGTCAAGTTACATCCAGGAATTAAACAATATTGTCGATCATTGTTTACCGTTACGAACCCGCAGGGTTCGTCAAAAAGAGCCCCCCTGGATGAGCGTGCCCCTAAAAACATTGATCGAGGGAAAGAATGAAGCCTACCGCCTCAGATGTCAGTTCCGTGACTCGCTAGAATTTGAGCAGTACGACAAGCAATTTAAGACTATGAAGAAAGCAGTGCGTTCGATGATCCTGGATGAAAAGCGAAAATTCTTCGCTCAAAACAGAGGAGAAACCGAAAAAATATGGCGGGAGTTAGCCAGACTGCTTCGTAAATGCAAAGAAAAAGAAGAGTCATCAGTGGATCCCAACGTGCTGAACGCGCACTTTGTTGCACAAGGATTGCACGGAAACGACCACCCTGTACCTTGCATGCCCCCCGAGGGCGGTGACACTAACCCATTGCTTTGCAGGTTTACCGATGTATCAGTTGACGTTGTTGCACTTTTGCTGAAAGGGATGGCAAAACGGAAGAAGAGCGCTGGTCCCTGCGGGATGCCTAGCAGAATCCTGGCAGGCGTGAACCAGTATCTTACTAAACCGCTAACGATCATGATTAACGCATCCCTGAAAGCAGGAGTGTACCCAACGATTTTCAAAAGCGCTGACGTAGTCGCCATCCCGAAGCAGACCAATGCACGACAGCCGGATGATTTCAGACCAATTTCACTGGTGTGCAACATATCGAAAGCTTTCGAGAAAGTTGTACAAAACCAGCTTGTAGCCGTTTTGAAGACCGGGAATGTGTTTTCTGAGAAGCAATCCGGATTCCGGGACGGACACTCGTGCGAAACCTTACTGCTGAAACTGTCCGAAAAGTGGAGAAAAACAATGGATGCTGGGAAAATTACAGCTTTATGCCTAAATGACCTTAAAAAGGCATTCGATTCTGTTTCCCATGCGAAAATGATTGAAAAGTTACACGCGATTGGCATCCGTGGTGGCGCGCTAAAATGGTTTCACAGCTACCTGACTTCCCGAAAACAGCGCGTTAAGATGATCCGGAATGTGTCAGACTGGCTGCCAGTGCAATCGGGTGTGCCCCAGGGAACACGTCTGGCTCCGGTGCTCTACACGCTGTACACAAACGACATGCTACCGGGACTCGACGCCGAATGCTTTGCGGATGACACCGTGCTGTATGGTGTCGGCACCACCCACGCGGAGGCAGCTTTGAATCTTGGCATTCAAGTTGATAAGGCGACCACCTGGTTTGCAGCGAACACCCTGTGCGTAAACGAGAAGAAATGTAAACTTATTTACATCTGTCCACAATCAAGGAAAAACCAGCCTGCGCCTACAGTCAGGATGAACGGTCACCAGCTGGAAGCGGAAACATGCGTAAAATACCTCGGCATTTACATCGATCAAAATTTAAAGTGGGAGGAACATTTCAGCCATATACTGCGGAAAGTTAACTACGGCATCGCAATGATAAACGCAGCGAAAGAAGGCCTGGACATGTCACAGCGCAGGAGTCTTTACCATGCCTGTGTGCAACCACATTTCGACTACGGGTCGGATACGTGGTCACCAGCATCTTCGACTCTACGCGACAAGTTGACCAGAGCCCAACGGAAAGCACTGCAGGCCATTACTGACTACAAGGAGCGGGTAACCCCCGAGCTGTATCAGCGATTGCGCATCCTGCCGGTATTTGACCGTTGGAAGCAGTCAGAAGCCGTTTGGTTGTATAAGATCTACAACCATGAAGTGTACAAACTTCCGCCCTACCTGGTTGAACTGATCGACTTCAAGGATCTGTCACCGCAGTACAATCTCAGGAAGCCGAAACGAATCCAAGCCAGAGCGAAACAGAAAATCGGAGAAAGCACGCTGGCCATGCGGTTAAAGAACGTTTTTGAGCGGATTCAGAAAGTTAATTCACAGATACTCAGTGTTAGCGGCGTTAACTTTTTCAAGTTCGCTCTGAAAACTATTGATCTGTCTAAATAATCTCTTCTGTAATTTTTCGCTGCATTTTTTACCGACCAGACATTGAAGTCCTGTTAAACGGGTTGTCTGCTCCTGATACATGAATGAATAAATGAATGAACTACGTACATATGTGAAGACAGTCGACAGGGCAGTCTTTCACCAGTTGTACTGTATTTTCTGCCTTTTGTATGCACGAAATTAGAATAGTGCGCCTGAAATAAGAGCTAACTGAAAGGCGAGACGACTACCGTTCGAGGAGACTCGCAATTGTCGCAAGTACTGTACATGCCTAGTGCAGGGCGTCACTTCGTGGCTTTGAATTCCTTTTGGGCTTGTGGCTTTGTGCTCTTCCAGTGCATCGGCGAAAATCTTCTATTCAACCGTAACCGTAATGCATATGAAGGAGACTCCTTCATATGCACTACGAATTCAACAGCCAGCCTCTTCAGCCTAAAGTCTACGCCTGGACTCTGCTCGGCACAATAAGCAGTGCTGTCTCCTTTACCGTTTGACCTAATTATTTCGTTTGTTTGCGGAGCACTAAAATCAGAATACTCTGGAAGTTACCGTATTTATATAAATGAGGAGATATAAGCATAAGCTCATCATTACCGACGCAAATGTCTCGCTCTACCAGACTACTTATGTGTTTTTGAACTAGGGAACAAATTCACCATTGATCTGTGAACCCCATAAGACGTGAATCGCGTATACGATTTTATTGAAAATACCATAATATTTATCCGCTAAAAGCATGCCATCTTCGTACTTCTCCCCCAAACGTGGGCATAATCAGTTTAACTTGGGCAATACAGTACTGGTCAATCGTGGTGACAATGTGTGGTATTTAGCATACATCCAGGATATCGACGGCGATAAAGCTTTTGTCGATTTCGACTGTACTCGGATTCCACCCTACTGGATTGATCTGGAGTACGTGTGGGAACATCATCATTTGGCGCTGTCAGAGCAGGAAGACGGCGAATATTACAACAAGTATTTCCCTGCTCCCAACGTGTACGTTGCCGTGCGAACTAACCAGAATTCACCGTACGTTTTCCATCAGGCTGAAATGTTCAGCCTCTGTTCAGTTGAAAACAAAGCGCTGTGTTATGTCTCACTCGATACTACCGTCGAACGCAGCAAGAAAACAACAAACCTCTGTCAAGTTGTACATCTTTGGCAAGTTGTACAGGAACTTCCTACTGCACAGCCATCCGTGGGCACGCTACCTGGCGAAACACCTTTTATAAAACTATGTTTTGAATCTAAAAAGGTCAACGCAGCTTTTATAAAGGCTATCACTACTAGCGAGCAGGAGATGAAGACATTTGTCGATCTGCTTTTTCACGGTGCTGGATATCGCTATGGTTTCATTTACAACAAGGGATGGAATCGATTCTTCGTCAAGGTTGAGAGCGGGATAATTATGTTCATATTTTTAAAGATTTGGCGTTGGGTAACATTTGAGGAGCGAGAATGTTTTCCGTTCGTACTGACTGCCGAATCACAAGCGCGATTATCCAGTGCTTCCGAGAAGCTCATTGAATGCTTCAGCTACAGCGAAGACAACCGCGATATCCTTTTGAATGCCTATATTTGTTCGGGTAATGAAAACGTTGTTTTAAAAAGAGACTTGTAGATTAATATGACAAACGCTTAATATAGTACTACAGAGTGGGGTGTGGATGTATATATGTAGCAACCGGCTTTATTCATACCATAGTTTTTTCTTTCTTTTCTGATAGAGTTTGGTCTGATGAGAGGACTTCG